TCGCATTGGGTAATGAAGGATCATTTCAATGACGTCATAGTGTAAAGGGTAATTTCTGTGTCTTATAATTATATAAGTTTTTGTGTGTGGTCTCGTTTCTTTGTCGTTTTAGATAATGATAAGGACAGACTACGAGAGACCTACATTCAGCAGCAATATTTAATTCTTCGCAATTTGTAAGATCAAAGGGAATCTGTCCCAAGATATAGAACGGAAAATTCTCTACAGAAGATTCGTGAAACTGCGGCCTGGGGACAGAACCCCATTGATCTTACACATTGCGACAAATTAAATATTGCTGCTGAATGCAGGTTTCTCATAGTCTGTCCTTATTGATATCCAAAATAAACTTGAGACACAATCCCTTATTAGCTGGACTCGAAGTCATTATTATTGATGACAGATTTGCCATTATATTCGCTTTGTAAATGTTTGTAGCAATAACTGGAATTTGTGTTAGATTCGACATGTCAACAACATAGCAAACTGTTGTCCTTCAATTACAAAGTATCTAAACAGGTATAATAGATGATTATCTAAACAGGTATAATAGATGATTATCTAAACAGGTATAATAGATGATTTATCAAGGTTAGTACAAAATGCTGTTTCATTTCTTACAGTGATTCGTTGTTAGTAGCACAGACATTGTCGATATTCAGTTCGGGTATCTACTTTTAGTACCAATATTTTGTTATTTAATATCGCATTGATGACACAGTAACGATCTGTGGGAATAATACCAATGCGTTATTGAGAATAACTTAATTACTCCAGACGTGATACATCTTATTGCAAAGCCTATATCAAGGATGCTTATCATGGCAGGTCAAATTGGGACAATCATAAGGCTCCTCTTCTTCATAAACGTACATGCCGGATGACAACATTGCATCACTGCATACAAACCTCCTGTCAAATTACTCACGGTAAATGCTTCCTCTGCAAAATCAGGACGCGGCGATCAGTATAGGTTTTACGTACTACTCCATGCCATATTTTCATGAATTCGACGCTGTAAGTGGAATGTTTACAGTATTAATGTCAGTTTACCTGGGTTGGGAGGACGAAAAATTAAACTGGATTTTATATTTTTAACGCGTGTTGCTTACTGGCAATATATCTGGAAACAATTAGATTTATCTTTCGTTATTTTGTATTATGTCGTAACATTTATTGAAACTGTTGCTAGCTTTGTTAGAATTATGTACCGTCTATAATATACAGAGTATTTTGTTTTGAGTTCGCCTTATACAATACTAATACAATGTTTATAGAAAAGTCTCGATACGTACACCAAATGGGGTTTCATCACATATTTATATCACTAATTTTACTACATTACATTTCAGTCGATGTTATTTGTATTATTTAACTGACACATTACATTTTCTTCACTTGTGTTTGCAGATAACACATGTAGCTCACTGCTTAATGTATTGTGTCTATATGTTTCTGAACAAAATGAAAAAGTGTTTTAACTTCACAGAAGTTGATCAAGTTTTGTAAATAAACAACATCTTCAACGAATCGTTCATTTTGAATGATTTGGTCAAACTGTATTGTATATAACTAACTTCCCATCTGGATTTGTATTACACAACTTATTTCGCTGTTGATTCACATCCACTGGTAAGTCGTTTGTAAAGTATTTTAAATGGCATGTTGGTGGCCAGCTCCGCTAGTGAAAGCTCCGAGTGCCGATTCTGAAGTCTTGTATATTGACTCTTTTATCAGCATGGTATTGATATTATTATTGATATCATTTTTAAATGGTCTGATATTATTGATTACCAAATTAAACTGATGTAAAATTAATCATCGTTTTTCTTTTCTTATATTCAAAATTGCTTCGGTGAATTGTAGTTTTGTCAATTTGCTTTATTTCAAAATCAGTCGCTTGTCTTTATTGGAGAGAGTGTGAGGTAATTACATCCTAAGTTTGTTCATATCAGTATATATCCTTATGTCTTCGGTACAGGAACAAATAGGTAAACTGTCATTTAAATTAATCTAGATAGAACTGCATATTGAAGAAGGTAGACGTCAATATATTATTTTATCGATCACACATGTCACGAAAATCTCAAGCATTGTAAAGAACCGAGATACTGATAACAAAACGTGAATCATATGTTCCTCATGATATTGACTTTAAATTCTTTAAATTCAGTTTACAGACATCAAGTAGTTTTCTTTTTACAAATCCGTGTGACATGGATACTTTGGGATCATCAAAGTAAAGCAGATTATTGTTTATGTCTAAAAATTGATCAACAAAATCCCAGTTTTAAATATATTAATATATTTTTTCTGCAGGTGTGAAGAAGAACGAAATCAATAACCTTGATATGTTTTAAAGGTGTACTTTTTCAACCTTTAGGTGTTAATCAATGAACTATTAAACCTTAAAAATATGTGACATTGATAAATATTCTAAACCTTAGCAGAAACAAATAATTTGTGCTAGTTTAAGAATCCATTGAACGTCAGGTACACGAACTTAATTAACAGTAATGTACTGGATCAGCAAATCAATCCTAACGTTAACGAGTAGTCTAATGTAAACATCATCATCATCATTCAATGTATCCCTTCGTTTGACACAAAATCAGTATTAATATGGCTTTTTAAATGGACTTTAAGAGTGCCTACATCACGAATCGTCAATTATTATAGGTCTGTGTTAGAGAATAAGTCCTGTTATGATCTGATTGGGAATTACATAGGACAGGTGAAATAAAAAAAAAAAAAAAAAAAAGATAATGTATTTGTTACAACAACAACCCAGAAAATACTTACAAGTCAACAGAATCTTAATTTGAACTAACTAGAGCAATAGGAAAGTAATATCAGACGTTCAGGAATATTAAGCGTATTCTTATTCTTCGACAACACCAGCCATTTAGATATTTGCCAATCAAAGAAAACAATGCAACGCCTCCATATGAGAACAATGCTGGTAACAACAGAACCACATGGAATACATTCATATACAAATCAAATACATTCAGCTGCATATTACATACGGAAATAGAATATTTCCCAATTATATCATTATACGAGAAACTATATCCATCAGCCTATACTTTTCGAGACTCAGTGTTGTGAGTTAATATGTTAGTTGTTAGCATCCTGCACGAAAATCGTAATATTATGAACAAATCCTTGAATATCGAATCTAACGCCGAGACCACCCCACTCATCAACCACCTGAGGAACGGTCATATGTTATCATTGTTTTTTTTTTTTTTTTTTTGAGTGGAAAGCTAGATTGTGAATGGTCAATGCAAACAAGTAGCATAATATACCATATGTGATATAACATGAAAAATAAACTTACTCCAGAAAAAAACATTCAATTATCGAATAAGTAATAAAATGCGAGCATGAGTTAATGTACTGACACTCCATTGAACAAATGTCATGAATGTGTTAGGTAAATACGTTGGACATTTATAAAGTCTTGTCGAATTCTAAAAGTTCACATTGAAAAATAGGTCTTGAAATTTTATTGAGGGTAAGTAGTAAATTGATGTAGTTTAAAAACAATTTATTAATACTCTCTGCCAATATTTTTTTAAATAATAGGATGGTGTTGTTTTAGGAAACAATGGCAAAGCAATCATGTATTGTTTCATATAAGCTGCCATTTTCTTACCTGGATTTTTATCTGCGATAAACCTGTGTTTCACTCAACCTATCTTCATTTGAATGAGATTAAATTAGATATACAAATTTTATTTGATGAAAAAGTACTGAATAATTGAGTTTGACTTCATTTAGCACTCAAACATATCTGAACAAATTAAATTTAAATGTGGGATGATTTTGTACTACACCCTGACATATTTCTAAAATCTATCATAGATGATAAACAATATTTAACTTAATTACCATACATTACATAAATAATAATCATTTTAGTGTTATACAATAAAGTGCCCGAAAGAAAGTGTAAAGATAAAGAGAAAGGTATCTGAAATAAAACTAGAGTATTTGAAATAAAGAGAAAAAGTATATCATTATTGGTTAAGAAAATGTCCCATTTGTGGTAATTGGTATCAAATCAACTAATTTATCGATGAGAAATGATAAATAATTTAATTTTTTTATTAATTCGTTAACTTTTGGGCTAAGGGTGTACAAACACAAGGTACAATGTATACTTTAATATATAATGTAGTCAATAAACTAAAACGTGATAAATTAAATATTTGTATTGTAAGTTTACAAAATTATCATAAATATAGCATTCAAAATGAAATTAAGACATTCAAACATTTCACAATATATATGAAATAGGTTTCTTCACACTTTATAAGGTTATAGAGACTTAAAAGTAATTAAAACGTGAAAATTGTTTAGATATATCCTTTAATATTTATATTTAAAAAATAAATATCATGAACATCAACTTTTTTAAAAAATGCAACTATTACCAGTTGCTGAGTGCCAACAAGTGAAGTTTTATAGGTAAATTTAACTGGTATTACTTTAAGGGAAAAGACTATATTCACTATAAAATTAAACTGCCTTATAAGAGATTGAAAAATGTTGGCATTCAGACATACACTCCTGATGGAAAGGAAAAGCTGTTGTGTATACCGTGTGCAATGAAGTGTGGTAAACGACCCCATGCCTAACAGAACAGCTTAGCCCGTTCCAGTTAATCCTCAACAAATAAGCAGTACATTCAGTGGTTAGTTGATTTTTGAAAGAGCAATATTTGTCGGAGAAGCTTAGTGTATAAATAGTTTCACAATACCCGATTCTTCACTGCCCTAACTCATATAGAGTATTTGATATAGTGGCTTCCATTCATATAACGATTGGAACAACACAACAGTTATCATTAGTGCCGGGACACATAGACGGCCCATGTTGTAGGTACATCGTCACTTTGATTGTGTGCTAAGTAAGTGTTAATGATGAAGAAACTTACCATAGCAATATTGGTGTGTCTCTTTGCGAGCTCATATGCTGGATCCTACGATAACATGGCGACACTGCACACGGACCTTCTGTCGAACAACTACTCACGATACATACGTCCTGTACAAAACCAAGATGACGCAATAAGTGTAACATCAATTTTTTCAATGCCGTATTTTCGTGACTTCAACGCTGTCACCGGAACTTTCACTTTAATGGCATCTGTATACGTCGGTTGGTTGGATGCAAAATTAAACTGGAATCCTGCCAATTATGGGAATATTCAACTATCTTATTTTTCTGCGTCTCAGGTATGGACTCCAAATATTGTCATAGCAAGTAGCGTAGAAAGTGATGCTCTCTCACCCACATCTTCAGTAACCGTTACAAGTTCTGGGTATTCTTTTGCTCTCTATACTAAAATAGTGACATCAGCGTGTTCACCGGATATTACTTATTACCCATATGATGTTCACAGCTGCAATGTTTCTTTGGCATTGTGGGAACCATTTACAGTTATGGACTTGAATCTCAGTCCCCAGGGGGAATACTTTGACTTTACCGACAACTTATTTTGGATTGTATCCAGAAAAGGGGAACGGAAGTATATTTCTAGCAACTACACTTCAGTTATAGATATAACGTACTCAATAGAACGGCGACCTACCTATTTGATATATACTATCATGCTTCCTGTTTGCCTGTTGAATTTCGTTACCCTCCTGGCGTTTGTTCTGCCTGCAGATTCCGGGGAAAGAGTGTCGTTCGCTACTACCATGCTTTTAACCTTGACAATGTACATGACTATAATGTCGGACAGTATCCCTAACACCAGTGACCCAGTGTCCATTTTCACGGTTTCACTGATGGTAAAACTCATTATCAGCGCCTTAATAGTGTTGTCAGTAATTATAACTCTGTGTATCTACCATACCAGTGAGGATAAACCCATTCCTAAATGGTTGCTTTTCTGCTGCAAACTGAAGCCAGGACAAGTGGAGGCAGAAAAGAATGAGGTTGTTGAAAATGTGTACAAATCGCAGAACATTGGGACGGTTGCTACCTGGCAAGCTATAGGGAAACGTTTGGATGTAGCTTTCTTTATATTGTTCTTTGTTTGTACTCTTACGGAGACTCTTGTAAATGTAGTAAGAATTACCTACCGTCTATAATGTACTTTGATATCCCTAAATGGTTCCTCCTGACAATAAACATGAAATTGAAATGTTTGCTATGAAATCGTGATTATTATTACGCGTGTTTGCCTTCCTATGGTTTAATGAAATGGAATGTATCAATGAGTATCAGAAATTCATGTTTAGTGTGAGCAATTGAAATTAAAATATTATATACTAACTTGAATATTAATATGCTTGTAGCCGCCTTATTGTGTTAGATTAACCGTGGTGTAATTGAATATTTCGTTTCATCTTCCTGTCGTCACGGATTTAACATAATATACTCTTCCCTTTTATCAAATCAATATGTATTATGATGTATTAACCATTATTATGGGTACTATAACATGAACAGTTGTATATTATTACGAGATCAACGACGTCTGACAATTACAGTGGTAATGTCAGTTGCTGGTTAAGGATTAAAGCAAATATTTATATATTTTTTCAAATGTTATTTACCTTACAAATACCTTTTATCAAAACAAAACAATGAAATCCAGTTTTCACTTAGTATTGTGCTCTTGCATATTTGACATTCATCTATACTTAGCTATTTAAAGTTTGTTATCTTTTCGACATTATCCGTGATATGATGTGTCCATTATGTTACCTTATCATTATTATAAGTTTTATTCAATTGTATATGTTTGTTTGTATTACGAGGGTGATGGAAGATTTTATAGACCAATAATTGCAGTATCTCAGACACTACTCAATAGTATTATGCTGCGTGTTAAGTTAAAGTATTGTACAATTAACAATCGATACTTAATTCTTTCTGCTTACTTAACTATCGAAAAGGAAAAGGGAAATTGTCTTTCTCATTCATCGACAGTCTATTAACATAATGAAAGCAAGTTATAATGGTAACGAGAACTGTTACCTAAGTTTCCTAAACGCAACCGCAGTCGTAAAGAAAATCTAAAAGAAATTTGACTCTATCAAATTTTCACTACAAAAGCCGTTACTTTGTCTAATCAGGTAACGGAAGTGTGGGCTTTGTTATAACTAATCTCCATTCCAAATTTGATTAAACTTTAAGAATATTATAACTTCCCCACATTAGTCGCATCTCTATGGCAGCCATTTCGTCGCTGTTTGTCAAGTCAGATAACACCTATATACCGACTTGAAAATCGGATAATATTTTTTTACCAATCGAAAGTCACCTCTCAGCGGTCATTTTGCAAAATCAAAAACCGACCTCGCCATCATGTTCTTGTTGCCAAGCAACCTCTCTATACCAATTCAGTCTGTGTAGGAATACAGATGTTGTAGATGTCTTCCCAGTGAGCAAAAATGGCTGCCAGTCACTTTCGGTTAATATAAAATTCTGACGATCCGTAGTTGTCGGACTTAGTAAGAGGCCTTTAAGAAACATAAAGCAACTCAAGAAGTTCTACAATTTTAGTATAAGTTTATTGTCAAACACGTAATTATCACCAAAACAAATCTTATTTTAGCTGTAACTTTCAAGTTTGCCAACGTCCTCTGCTAGACGTCAATCTGACGTTTCACACATGGAATCCGTTACTGAATTATATGTAAATGTAAAGGTAATCACTGAACAGCAACCATCTATCAAACAAATGGCATCTGTATCGAATGCATGTTACCATCTGGTAACAGATCAGTACTTACATGTAAATTAAAGATCTCAAATGTAGCCGAGTGATGTAAGATCATTTGATGCCAATGTACTGAGGTAATGTAATGGGTTAAACATAGCACAGCCATTAACATGTTCATTTCTAATGTCTTATTATAGGGATACGTCGGTTTGAAAATATGATAAAACAGACAAGTAATGCAAGGTTTCCTGAAGCTCAGAAGTGAACGCTATTGTTGTCGTGTTATGACTTTTCTAAAACGAGAACGAATGGAACCGTATAGCAATACCATTTTCATGGAGAGAAAAGTCAAGAGTAAAATCTATGATATTTACCAGTAAATAATTGCCGTGGTCCTACCACTGGGTATGATTTCCCCAGCGAGACTTCTGTGTGGATTGCATAACAGTTTTTATGCAAATGCACTATTCGCAAAATGCAACCAAATCGATTTAATTGCCATTCCACAGAAATATTTCGCTTATTATTGTAAAATCTTCATTGATTGTGAAATATGTTCATTATTAAGATACACAAGATTAATTTGGCATTAACAAACCAAACCACGAAGAAAATGTTTTGACATGAATCACATGCGCAGTTCTAGGTAGAACATTACGGTTGTTCGATTAAGAATTTTTCAATAGCTTCATTAAGACGTGTACATGCCTTCCTTTCAATTTTGTTCTTTTGTATTTATAATTGTGTCATAAAATAAAGATTGGTCTGTCTTCAAATTACTTGCTAACAAAATAATAAATGATAACAGATTATGTTTTATATCTTATTATTAAACTGTATTCAAATGTCAATGTGCAAATTGCCGCAACTTGGGTTCGAAAATAAGGAACCTCAATTAAGAGGCCCTTTCTATAAAGGCCACTTTCATAATTTCCAAACAGTGGCCGTTTAATACAGGTTAGACTGTATACACTGTTTGCCTGAAGCACATGCTTCCAGGGAAATCCTTTGAATTCAATACATATTGAAATTCCTATATGAGTGAGGTGATAGAAATGCTGGTGGATTTGAAAAGTCGACCATGACAGTGCACATTTATTTCCAGACAAGAATCACCACTAAACCAAAAGTCTACTCAGTTAGTAAACATGTTTGTCTACAAACGCAAAATGTATTATAACTTTTGAACAGAATACGTTTGGAATGTTTAATTACACAATTATGCAATTTATTCCTTCAGTCTTACTTTTGATCGAGAAGCCTCTTCAGAAAACATGCCATTACACCATGAAATGTTACATGTCACCGATGGGTAATAAATGGAATTGGTTATATTGTCTTAAAATATAAGTTCCACTTCTGACTGGCCAGAATAGTAATCACCAACACTGGTTACATACTTTCTACCAAAAGCTTATATTTGGGTTGCTTTCTGTGCTTTCCATTTCTACTCAAGATTGACTTAATGAAACTACGAAACCTTGTTTCATTTGTCAAGTTATTTGACTAGATTAACATTGATCTAGACGTATCGATACCTCCTTTACATATTCTGTAAGGGGAGATTAAAAATGTTCGATGTTAGGCTTTCAATAAGATCAACCATTTGCTCCAGATTAGCATAATACATATTGATAAAGATAAGTAATGTTTGTGATAATTATCAAATAAATCAAAATGTGACATTATGGTAATTTTTAGCAGAACAGATTTGTTTTCCATGTTTTGATATCTGCTTGAGATCTTACAAATGTTGTCGTCTGCTTCAACTTACTTTTACATTTAAAAAATTGAAGAGTTTGTCAGTCTAATTTCTCCCAAAACTCGCTTATCCAACAAATATCAGTTCTCTGACACTGCATGTAACAATATTCTTGATCGTGCCTTTTATTGTTGCTGCTACACTCGTTCATCTTGTGACATCACATCCTATAAGATCCAATTCAGCGTGAGCTACGCTTATGCTAATTGGTAGGACAGGTGAAAATCGGACATTACATACGTCAATATCTCAGTATTGTGCTGGCGGAGTATAATGCGGTTTTCAATCTTTTTTAGTTTGGATCAAACATTATAATTTCCTTATTTCGTTCAGAGTACATTTAAAATCCTAACCAACGATATTCGGACGAATGGACGGAGACAAAAGCTATGTGATTTAAAAAGCAATCAAATTAAAACACCTGAGTTAACAATATTTGCTTTCTGATATGTAGACGACAGTGTTTAAGGATGGCAAAGCAAAGACAATATGAACACATTATCGATTGGCTCTGAAGCAATCCTCTACGGACAACAATGCACTGGATATTGGTGGATTTAGTCTGTTTGTTTTGCTAATGACTTTTGGTTATCAAACGAGGTATACATTTCACAAACAGTCGAAGTGCGTCATCACTTAGGTAAGATGATGAATTGTATTTCGAAATTTGCAAATATCCATTTCGTCTTATTTTCAAGATATATATGCTGTGTTTCATGTCGGTTATCAATTGCATAACGTTATGAGGGTTTATGTTTTCATGGTGTCACATCGGATATTTCTCGCACCACAGACGGGAATATCCCTGGTAATACCCACCCTAAAATTTTCTATCTCGCTCGATCTGTCCAGTACCCTTACGTGCGTTTTTGCGGATATTTTACGCATCGGTGTATTCATCCGCGTGAAGGCGCAAGTGGCACCTACACCCGTGCATTTCAACAAAGAAAAATATAGGTTATGTCGTTGTTAAGGTGTTGTTAAGATTAATGATGTTGTAGATAAAATAACATCTTCACTGTAAAATGCTGTTAAAAGTGAAGAGGCTGTGTGGGTAGTTTGAGGCTCCCACGGGATACGCCGAACTCTGATAAGAGTGCGAGAAAATTACTATTACCTATAACTGAGCGAGATCTTGGTATCTCAGTATCTAGCTAAGACCCTGAAACACCCTAACCTCGGCTAAGACCTCGGTTGGGATGAGGTTACAGGATCTTAGCCCTTGGCAGATATACCCCGATCTCGTTCAGTTACAGGTGACAGATTTTAATAGTCTGTAGCGGATCATAAAGGACGGTAATCAGGGGCGTAGCAAGCCCAGCAGAAATGTGTAAGCCCATTCGAGGGGTCTGAATTTCATGATTTCAAAGATGTTTGGAATCGTTTTCTGAGACAGTTTCTTTTTTATTTAACTTCAACCCTTGGTATCTATTTTCAACCTTAATTTTGTAATTTTGTCCCACATACTCTATGCACGGATTTTTTTATGTGTAAGCCCGGGCTTTTTCTTTCTATGGAAGCTACGCCCCTGGTAATTGTCTGTAATATTGAGACGGATCTCACAAGTGAATGTAGATATCACTGGGTTATCAATCGCATTGGTTATGGGCGGGTTATTGTCACTCATTGGTCATATTGAGACGGATCTCACAAGTGACCAACAAAATCACAGTGTTATCAATCTTGCTGGTTATGGGCGTCTTGTCGTCTGTCATTGGTCATATTTGGATGGTTTTAATGAACTATTGCCTGTAATGTAATAATCAGCATTTGTGTTGGCAATAGGAAAGTTTTAAGTATTGACATGTCGTGAATGTGAAAGAAACAATTTGTAACTATTCACATTCATAGGTAGGTCATTTTCCTGAATGTTTTTTTTCACATCCTGATGATGACGCACGGCTAATCTATGATGTATATAACAATATCTGAATTCAAATTCCAAGAGAACACATCATGATAAGTGGATTGCCTTTCAAATTCACACACCTTGGGAATGATATGTGACTGAAAGATGGGTACATTGTTAGCAAACCTGTATGGCGATGATATCAAAGTTGACATGCCCAATTTAATGATTAGAAAATGCGTCGTGGTGTTATAATGATTGTAGTGAACTTGAATTGACTAAAGAGAGGTAAATCAAACATCTGGGAAGCATATGGGTTGTTATCGACAGAATCAACTTCTACTTGAGAGTATCATAATGCTGCAATCATGAACTTGAATGACAGGCCTTATTGAACACATACTTTGGTCAACCACAACGATCACTTTGATTTCTACAGAAAGGCAATTAACTTCGTATTAATTACTGATCATCTCTAAATTAAACTTCTCATGTACTCTGTCTTATGTAACCTGCATGCCATGTTTTGATTCTCTCAAACTGTAGCATGGATCATAATATACACATGTACTTTACGTTCGTTTAGTATCATTCAATATTGAAATTTATGGAATGTATTGAATATTGTGGCTAATGACCTCCTGAATAACTTTTGCCCTTATCATCACTGACGAGAAGCACCACATTGAATATAACATTACGTTAGTCTACGTTATCTCAGGTGAACTCTCTGTGTGACGATTTTCGTTTCTCATGAAACTGAGAAGCGAATCGGTCTCTGCTTTTTTGGTTGTGTAATTGGCAACTACATTGATATTCCATCTCTTGAAAAATGAGTATGTTCACGGGTTGGCGATAAACCATTCACTTCACTGTAAATAAAATGAAACTTCTCTATTCATTGTCAACATTCTGTGTTGAAGCTCGTGGAAATTAATCTAAATCTCCACTTTATAAGTGTTTACCCGTGACAAAAGGACTATGTTTTCCACTTGTAAATCTATTGATATCTACTTTACTGCAACGCACACAACAAAACAGTGACATCAGGCGGGGACACATAAAGTTATTCTGTAGGTGTGTCAAACCGTTTTATTGATGTGTTTTTACATCAGCTTACGTATATCAATCAAGATTGTGTAAGGCAGATGAGGTACGTTTTGTTTTCCATACTGTTCTTTCTAGGTAACAACATAGTAACTAATGGCAATGATTAACAGGGTGGTAACACTGTGTTGCATCGCATCCTTTACATCTGCGGCTTCATACAGCCAGGTACGGGATCTGTACAACAGTCTCCTTATCAACTACACCAGCAATATCAGGCCAGTGTTAGATCAGACCAAAGCTATCAATGTTGACATCGACGTTATGCTCCACAGCATTAACTTGTTTGATGAAGTTTCTGGTAAACTTTCTATGTCAGGCATCTTCAGATTTTCCTGGACGGACGAATTGCTGCAATGGAACCCGATGTCGGCTAACGGTATATCCTCTATGATGTTTACTACGTCACAGGTATGGGTACCAAATGTTTTTATCGGCAACGGCGTGGATCAAACAAATATCTTCAAACCAAGCGACTCCATCGAAATATCCTACACTCGAGAAGGCAGCGCCTCTTTACGATTTTTCCAAATTTTCGATGTTGTTTGTCAGGCTGGTATGACGTATTACCCAAACGACATTCACACATGTAAAATCGAAATGGCACAAATGACAAATCTGGATCTAGTGAATCTCACTTCTTCGAAGGGGATCATACTGACCGCATACTATTCCAACCTCATTTGGAATGTCGAGTCCACTACAATGGAAAATGTAATCGTTGGAAGGCAGTCTAAGGCGATGTTCTATATTACAATAGGTCGGCGACCGACCTTTATTTTTCTTACTCTTGTATTACCGATTATTGCCTTAAATTATGTGAATCTCCTTGTGTTCTTCATACCGACCGACTCGGGGGAGAGGATATCCTACTCCATCACAGTACTGCTGACCTTCACTGTTTATCTGTCAGTGTACTCAGACAAGGTACCACCACTAAGTCTACCAATAGGTATCTTCAGCGTGTCCATGCTCATCAAGCTGTTCACTAGCTGTCTCATATCGCTTTCCTGTATCGTCATCTCGAGGATAAGCTACTATCAAGAAGATTATCCAGTTCCTTCTACATTGCAGAAACTAACTGCAAGCTTTCGTCGGAACAGAAAGATACGAAGCTCCCTGAAAACACCAGCACGCCAAAACTCGACTGTTGATGTTGTGGAAACTATGTGCAACACTCGTGAGGCTGAAACTCTCTCTCGGGATGAAAATCGTTCTCAGCCCTCTACTCCTGTGACGGTAGTCTGGAAGGAAGTTGTTGACTTCTTGGACAAACTGTGTCTTGTGTTATTCACACTGACGTCTACAGTTGAAACAGTTGTGTGTTTAATCCTCATAATAACTCGTCATTGATATAACACTGTTTCACGTGCTATGCTGAGAGTTTATTTCAATATAAATTTCGTGTTTAGCGCTTTTAACAGATAAGTATTACTTAAAAGATTGTTTCTTCTTCAGAATGAAATATTATTTAGTAGTTTTATAGATTTCTGTACATGGATAAAAAGGTCTACAAATATTTTGGTCTATCAAAATATCAGTGTTTCTAGATTAACTAGCACATTAACAATGATTTTTTTTCCAAAATTAACAATTTTTTTCAATGAAATTTTAGCACGATCGTAAAAAATGAGAAGCATGCAAGTGACCACTTTCGAGTGAGCTATCATAGAAGCTGTCCTATTTGGTAACTTTGTGACTCAGGTAAGTGGCTAGTGAACAGGTGGGTAAGAGATAATACTGCATAGTATCGAGCGATTTCTTTTATGCACCAATTCAGATTCCTAAGATTTTGACGACTTTTGGAAGTTTTTTTACGACAAGTAGGTACTGTATACGAGGAATTTTGGCCCCCGTTTAATTTTCGCCCTTTTCATCCATGAACAGGGAGGGCAAATTTAAGATGTGGCGAAAATGTGTAATACTTACATTACCGTTTCATATAATCTTCAGAGGGCAAAATTACTAGGAGGCGAATACGTGTATAATGATGCAAGCACTAAAATAACACGGGGAGAAAATGTCCAGGTAAACAGTATGTGTTCAGCTGTGGTATAGCGGCATGGAGGTGTGGAGCACCGGGAATATCAAAAAAAATTATTCGACATCTAGATTAACCTGTTGCAGAGTTTAATTAAGCAGAAAGCTACGTGACAATAGCGTTTGAATTTTTTTTCAGAAATACAACGGTATGATTGATCCACTTAATGTTTTTGAAAATACAGCAAAAATTAAAACAACAGTATTGCTTGAAAGCCGAACGAGTGAGGAAAATTAAAACCGTGGCTTTCTTTTTCAAAGACGTATTGTCGTAATGAAATGCAAACAAAACTTTCTGTGCAACAATTAGTTTGACTTTTAGGCTATTTTTCTATCAGACTGACAGGACTTAATGGCTAAGTGCTCTATTGTACATTCCTGAATGGTGTGCGTTGGGAACTGTTATCTGACGAGGTAAGAATTTAATCAATACACGTCATATTTATGTATGTATATATCAATGTATCGCTTTCAAAATTAGATTTTTAATGTATAGCCGCGACTGATGGTTTTATCAGATAGGAGACGTTGAATACGAGTACATATGCAAGTCAACAAAAGAGAAAAGTTAACGGCAACGACAATAATGTCATAACACTTATTAGCTGTCGGTCCATCATTCAAACTAAGAACAATAACAGTATGACGTCATTATAAAACCAATAAATCCTACTCGTCATGGCATCATTAACCTGGACAAGATCGATCCTTAAGACGGGATATTGGAAATAAACAAAAGTACACAGCGCATTCTATCTTATGGTTCAAGACTCTTCAAAATCTAAAGGTCTTGCTCACAATTAACCGATATTCTTTTCCGCCTCTCGAAAATGCCACACAAATTGAAGGATATCAAATACCACCGAGAAACCTTTTCTAAATCAAGCATATAAATTGTAGGTTACTTCTCTGTTAAAACACTTCCCTTATCTGTTACTATAAATCAACTCTATTGAACATACACAGAACCATTAACAAACACTGTTGTACATATGCAGTGTCAAGCTCCATCTGTCTAGACAATACATGATTTTTGTACATAAGTACGTTCCTACCGTTCCTCACCAAGCGATGAAGCGAGGATGATTTTTTTTCAGTCAGAGAAAATTAACTACAGAAAGATGATATTGTTGAAGCTTTCCGTGAAATGGAAGATGGCGGTTGGAATAATATTGACATATTATTTTAATGAAACAACAATTTATGATGGGGAGAACATTTTTTAACCAAAAGGGATTTCCCATTAAAGGAATGTGATTGTAGATGTAAACAAATCCAAATGTGTATCAATCTGGCTAGTAATGGTAATTAAAACAAAACAACAATATTTCAAGAATACTGGGATTTACCAATATAACAGGACATCGTAGCGAAGGAAATTAAACATTTTGCTACGGAACTTAAAGGCTGAAATATATATTTCACTACCCACATACAGTAACTCATACTTTCTTCTGAAGCAAAATCCTTTATCATTGAAAGTTAACGTAAAATATAAACATTGGAGAGTCAATGATGTAGACAGACGGAAACTTTTCTGTCATACTGTTAATGATATGGACAAAATTATGACACTACAAGTTTACAATGTTGATGTAATTAATCTTTATATGGTAATAACATAAATACCATTACGAAGTGCAAAGGCTTCTACAGATACCGATGGTGAGATACAAAAGCTATAGGAACCGATGACGGACAAAAGATAGAACAAAACCGTCACGGTATTGATTGGAATCATCCCATCCGAAATCTCTTACAAAATGATAAAAGAAATGATAACCTTTGCGCGAGCAAATGAATGAATAATGAGTCACAACTGAACACAAAAAATATAAACTTAAAAAATACATTGGCAGGTAAACGTCATCCATTACTGATGGTACAGTTTACTTGCCTGTGAACTCATCCGAGTGTTTGACAAATTTGGTTCCTGTGATCTGTGATTAAGGCAACTATCCATAACAAAGTTTGTCGTTGTTTTCCCTTCGGGCTTATCAGCAAACTATTACATTTCTATGCCTTTCTGTTAATAAAAGGTCGTTTGATGAGCATATTTACAACTGTTGCCACTGCGACCTTGAATATGGGCCAAGGTTATACATTTTTGCAATATTTGCTATGCTTCATGACAGAACCTACAGTCCAAATATTTGGAATTGAGGTATTTGATTGTTTTAACAAAAGAATCCCCGTGACACTGAATATGTGTACTTACTTTCCTCAAATTTTGTTGGACTTCAGCCAAAAAATATATACCAAATGTTATGATATCAGGCAATATGTCGTTTAAAAATGCTCCTTGTGACCTTGACTAAGTAAAGGTAATTTCTTAATATAAATTAGTTATACTTAATCTTATTTCAGGAACCATTCCTTTGAGCGTTTTAACAAGTTTATCACGTAACTTGAACATACGTCGAAGTATTTTTTTCTCAAACTTCTTTGGGCTTCATTTCATAAATTTACCAGCCAACTATTATGAATGTGGTGTCATAATCATTGAGAGGTTGTGATCGCCAGACGATGGACGTGTCCTTTAGCAAAAGAGACCGTTGGTTTTACTGTTACTGTGAGCCTGGTTTAACCTCTTACGTTGTTGGAGTAATGCTCACTCCGGAGCCTCAAGTGAGCTGAAAATCAAAAAGACATGTTATAGTTAGCCAGCAGGACTGATTGAAAGTCTCTTCATGAACGATATAATACCAACGCATTAAATAGTTTTTAATGTTCGAATTACTCGCTACAATTTAGTCAGAATCGTACAACTGCATCGATTATACACTTCCAGGGGGAAATTGAAACGTTCACCAGATCAGCTGCATTAGTCGTGTGGTGTTAAATTTATTTTCAAGTAAAATAGTATGGTGATATTTTATTATAAATTACGTAATATGTCCCTATTGGCATGCTTATTGTTTTACCGACTTAGTTCATATTTCTCTTTGGGCAAATTCCTGACGCGGTGTCTTTTGTTTTCATTACGTATAGATACTCTTCAACTCTCTTTTATAGAAAGTACAGTAAGCTAGTTCACACAGCAACGAATGTGATGCTTACTGTAACACATCTGGAAGGTTCTGATTTCCAAAAAATCTACAGAAAATTGAGTTTCTGATTCACGTACACAATTTCTTTCGATATTCAAGAAATCTTTACGAGGTAGATTTCTGGAGCAGGAAATGAATAACGCCTCTATGTGCTTGTCATCCCTTCGCAATGAATGCCGGGGGAATGTATTAGAATGTGAACCTGTACGTTGTGTACGGTCCTTGTCATCAATCCAGAGGCTACATTCCTTGAGAGAGTTTCATCACACATCACGCACTTTTAAAGTTGACTTTTAGGGTTCTATGGTGAAGGTCTTGGTAACCGTTATACTCTAGTTGCTTATGTTCTTTCGGAATTTTGATCAGAACTCACATCTTTATTAAGGACCATTACAAGTCGAGAGTTCGAGTATAAGAAATTAGGGAGAGTATTAATGTCATTGTTACTGTTTTAAAACAGGGGGATTCTAATCAAACTTCAAACACTCATGAATGAATATTTTATCTAAGACATGGATTAGTTTCAGGGTTGTGGGATTAAGGTCAAGGTCATTGACTCTTATATAATTCTTTGTCAGTACTTTAGCGTCTTGATTTCTTGTGGGATTTTCGATCAAACGCCACACATTTATAAAGGACCATAAAATGAGACAAGAAAAACTTTCCAAATTGAAAGGTCAAAGTCAAGCCCGCCGTTACTGTTTTTAATAAAATCTTTGTTAGCACCAACTGCTTCATTTTTGAGGAATTTCAATCAAACTTCACGCACATATAGAGCAATTGCGTGTCGGAGGAGTTCGAAAATCGAGATTCCAGTGTCAAAGTCATTGTTTCTGTGTCAGCGCTTTAGTAACTTAATTACTTTCCGAATTTTGGTCAAACTTGAAGACAACTGGCCATGTTCTTTATTACCATAAGTCAAGATGGAACCATGAGGGGGCTTGTATCATTTGTGATGCCTTGGAACACAATTACACGTCCTCAGTGACACTACATAAAATGTTTGATACAAAGTAGGGAATTCTCTACAAAGTAGTCTTTTACACGATATGCCATGATATGAAATCGACATTCTCCTTAGGTATGTTTTTTATATGCGAAGAATTTCTCTTCTATATCAACCATATTACATACTCTCAATACCGAATATAATACCTTGTGTATGGGATGAAATAAGACTTCAAATACAAAATTTACACAATGAGATCAGTTTTATTTACAACAAATCATTCCTAATTATGGACCCCTCAATATACATATAAAACATACACACCTCATAGTTAAAAACATGTCTTATTCAACTATTTAGATTGAAATGATAAAATTTACTTGTTAATTGCAATGAAATTTTGGTAACGATATACTGATTGGAGTTCTCAAAGTGGTAACATTTCCAAGATATTGGATATGCACACTTTCCTTCAACATGCACATGATGATAAATATCAGTTTTTTATTCTACCAGTAGTGAGAAGCATACAGATTTACTAATACCTTGATGTACTTGGAGCTACCTTCTTTAATTCCTAAGTCAGCTATAACATGTCCTTGATGTTTCCACTGTGCAATTTACACATTGTAATGGCTCAATGGGTGACAGGAATTAAGATGATGTATTGAAATGATGCAGTCAAGACCTGTCAACCCCTAAAAATGTCTGAGGAGACTTCCTCTATAGAAAGTTTAAGCAGATGAGATTGTTCCAGGAATCATTGTCACAAAATTTCATCTCAAATTTACAAGGGTGACAAATCAACAAAACTGTAGTACATAAATATGTTTTTATTTATATATCTTCCTGATGCACACGCTTTCATTCTCACTTACAACAAAAAAGTCTTTGTTTTGAATTGGATAAAATATCCTCTGAAGAGGAATGTTCTGGATGAGGACGGACACCTTTGTTTGAATCCTACAGTTAAAGGGAGGGTTGGCAGGTATTCAAAATGAAGATGTCACTCTGGTGCAACATCATCAGCCATGGTTGCTGGCAGACTGTGAGATACAATGTCACCCTATAACAGTAGTGTGGTTATAGATTCCTGGTAGACATGTCAAGAAGAAAATCACTTACATGTTAGGCAAGTACGCCATTATTGTATAAACATCAGACTTAATTGAACAATGATGTAAAATAATAATCTAAAATCAAGTGAACTTACTGAAGACAATTACAGAGTAATGAATGTAAAACCAAATCATACCACAATGTAGGAGCTAAGACAATTGTAAGGTCATTCTACTGTGTGGTCACTTTAAGGTTAAACTGGACAGGTTCTTGAAATATCAAACATCATAAAGAAGCTAATTTAAGGTGACAAGAGTGTTTCAGATAAGTGTGGACACTAGACACTCTATAAAGACAGGTAGTAATCTATCATTGTACACAACACTATATACACTGTTATTTAGGAATGATATCCTAAAATTCTCATCAGGAACTTTACAATATCTTAAACCATGTGTTAACATCGTATCAGTAGTATGTTATACAAACCAGAGAAATGTGTCAAGTCCTAGTGATCTTGATACTAGGTTTATTTCAGGAATCCAGTACATTGTAAAGCATTAAAACAAAATGTCTTCACTATTCCTCCACAATGAAACTTTATACAGAGCAAAAATACATTGCAATGATACTTAACCAATATCAAATTGGTAAAGTCCAGCAAGTATACCTAGTATCCAGCAGTCAGGCAGCTTGCAATCCTTGTTAAACTCTGCATTATAATGATATCATAAATATTGGAGACTGATATTTTGTTTTTATTCTTCAAAAACAATTGTTAATCAGAGAAACTAGTGTTTTTAAACTGAATGAAGAACTTTGATATCGCCTTCAGTAGAAATAAAAAACGAAGCTGTTTATTTGTTGTCTGCTGAAAAATATTGAATTAAAACACTTCTCAGTCACCATAATTCTGCTTCATTGTAAAGTGAATGCACTAATAGTAGTGACTTTGATCCTCAGTCAGTTGAAACATTTTGGGGCTTTTTGCCCAAAATGTCTATAAAAGTCACAATCAGATCCATGGTCCTTCCTCACCCTGAACAGCCCCGACATCCACAATTCACACACTCCACAATTTTACCCTAAAAATAAAGAAAATATCAATTACTTGTATGTTGTGACTCTGAAAAATAACAGCATCTGGTTAAAGAGCCAGACCCACTACGTTATAGATATTTTTTCATATTTTATTGACTGGAAATGTTGTTGTATACTAATAGATAATATATAAATAAAGACTTGTATTGAGTTTCGAACTTGAAATTGAAAGGGTACCGGAGATATCGGTCATTAATCAATACCAGGATGACCAACATGAGGAAAAGTCATGTAATACGTATAGATGCGATCAGAACCAAAACAAAAATGGAGGAAGACGTGAGTAGTATGTCCATGTGACATCGCTTATAAAAACATTTTACCGATGAATGCAATCAATACTCTATATATCCTGTATGGAAATCATCTAACGTATGTATTGATCACATTTTTCAATGCTTAGATATGACACGTGCAGATTATGAGAAAAACTACGATTAATTGCAAAGAGGCCCTCAAATGGGGGCTACGATAAGGTAACGAACATAAAGAACATGGCAAAATGGATCTATCTAAAGCGAATGTTCGATGATAAGAGTATTTATGAATATGATTTTAGAGTGATACTACATGAGAGAGCCAAACAGAGTATGAACCAGTCACCATCTTCCTTCTTTTCCCCTCAGAGTCCGTCATTACATGTTTTCTTCCCTCGCATGCTTTCTGCCATGTTGGAAGACGGCAGATTTATTTACAGTTCTTTGCGTTTGCATCAGAGGGCAGGACTTCACGCATAATTATGAATTAGCACTGAGTCATTTCAAATTCTTTTTTAAAATTATTTATTACGTTAGATTGGTATCGATTTACTTTAAAATTGCAGTATTACAGGGTTAGTCAGAACTTTTGCTATCCAAGAAAAATAGAAAATCATGAATTTTTTTTTATATAAAATAATATCGTTCGAGGAGTGGGTCTGGCTCTTTAATACTATACAATTATCTACTTTATACTAAGTCAATACATGGATTTATACACATCGTAAAAGTGAAATTTACCAATAAACCTTATAATAACCTCATATTAGGTTAATAATTGTTTTATTATCAGATAATCATAAAACAATATCTGCAGCATTAGTGTTGGATGTCATCAAATTGTATCTTAACAGAAAACAAGAAACAATTTTACATGGAACATCAATATGTACAGTATGTAAATTTGTATTTTACTACACAATTCTGTCTTGATAATTCTGACTGATCACATTTAAAATGAAACTTAAATAAATGAGATATTTGTGTATTTATTGGAAAATTCATCATACAGTTGAGGTTTTCAAGGTTTAAAACTGCATCAAATGTTTTTTCCTCTTTACAACTAGTGGTACTTCACTGGACACATCTTTGATTTCTTGAATCATTTTGATATCAGTATCTGTGGATATGTTAATTTGAACTCGGTGAACAGACTCTTGACAGGTAAACAGATTTGTAATACTAACCGTACATGCAAGTGATTGCCTATTTCAGGGTCAATATTGCATTAGTTCAGAATTTTACAAATACTTCATGGACAATCAGAGAAGGGAAAAACAATCAGTCATAAGATAAAATATTTCAAAATGTAACTTCCAACTGTTTCAGCTAGCAGTTTAAAATCACAATTAACATGAGTATCAGTAAACTGATGAATGTTCCCGGAGGCAAATCAATAGGACACAAAATTTTAACAAAAGGTAATAACTCTTTATTTCGGACACTTCATTTTGGTATGACCAAATTGTTCACCAAAATTCTTTATCCTAATTTAAAGGAAAGCAAAGTTAAGCAAAGATCATAAAATTTTAACAAAGGGAACTAACTCTGTTATTAAAGTGTTGCAGACTTTAAATTTGGTACACTACACATCCTCTTTGTATAACTAATGTAACACCATCTTTCATTGTCCTAGCTTAAATAATTGCAAAGTTATGTTATGGAAAAAAAAGGTTCAACAAAGAGAAATAATTCTGTAATTGAGGAGCCGCAGGGTCTGAATTTGGTATACTGCCCATCGCCTTAGTGTCACTAACGTATACAAAATTCAAAATCCTTTTTGTAATTGTGGGAAAAGTTATGCTTTGGACATGAAAATTTTGACAAAGGGCCATAATTCTATAATTTAGGGGTTGAGGGCCTTAACATTGATACACTGCACATTGCCTTTGTATGATCAATATATACACTTAAGTTTTATTTTCCTAGTTTAAATATAAGCTATAAGGTTAATTAAAGTTTAAAGTCATTGGCCCGCTATTTGGTACACTGCACATTGCCTTAGCATGATCAATGTTTACGGATGATCAACGGATATGAAAGGATAGATGGATTGCTCGACAGACAGCTAAGGCTGCAACTAAATGCTCTCCTTAAAAAAACACACAATGGACAATACTTACAGCTTCCAGCTTTCCCTTTGGTACACGACACACACAATTGCTGTTAAAGTTGGTATCCCTAGTCTGAATACACCGCAAACAACACAGATTCTCATAGCCTTGCTTTTTCCACTTTGCGATGAGATTTTTGTCAGCAATATTTTCCTTAAGACAGTACTCATACAGTTCTGAAATATTAGATAAATATTTATTAGTTCATAAGTAACATTATATAATACAGCATCAAACAGTAAATCAATGATGAAACTGTCCTGTAATATAGCTATTATTCCCTTGTCCTGGAAGTTGTATCCATGCTTTTACTGGAGTGAGATTTGCTTGTCATTTTCCTTAGAGAAACAAAGGAGTTCTGTCAGGACAATGGTATGACATCACAGCAATAATTCAATCACTTCATGTTAACAAATGAACTTTACCTATAAAAAACAAGGTAGTAAGAGGGAATAATCATTGAACCCTTTGAGGTTAGGATATGTGGGATCTCCACTCTCATGGGAGGAATTATTAAGATGAAAATCACACATGTACAGAAGTCTGCCTAAAGAGAAATCTTTCCTATCAAGTTGAAATACCTTATATCTCAACCACAAGAGAATGAAAGATTCTGGTTGTGTTAATATAAAAATCTAAAACTTACATTGTACATGCCAGTCAAATACAGCTGGCAGAATAAAAATTTATGTACTTTATCATCATTAGAATGAGTAAACCTAGAGGGAAACCCTTAGACTTTTATTTCAAATTCTAATTATTTTAGTTTTTAATTGTTTTTGAAGCACAATACTCACATCAACACTTACTTATATACAATATCAAGTTTAAATAAAATGTTCAAGTGTAAATGCATTAAGTTCTGATCAGAAATGATTGAGAACAACTGTGTCAGAATCTAAAATAAATTAGGTTGGATGATGTGTCAGGCACATGGAAACTACCTCTGCTTATGGCCTTCCTTCTGTAGAACAGGTCAAAGATATAACGTGACTTCTGATGGTGGATGCGGAATATTGGCCACAGTCCTTCTACCTTTCTTTTACCCTCATGTGGATCAGTTTCAGCTGTAATTAGAAAATGGGAAAAAGTAAATAAAATTGTTGACAACATGAGACTTTATAATATGTTACTTTGTGACATAACAACATTCATTTGAAATACCAATGCTGTTTCCAGAAAATTGTCATATATAATAGAGGTCTTTTCCTTCCTTCAAAGACTCTGTTGAGTTGTGGTTGTGTATGCATATTTTCACATCAAAAATTGTACTGGCATACATTTTTTTATACAGGTGCTCAAAACATGGGATAGGTACATGTTTTTAACTATGTTAACTACTTGACACTAATAGTAACATTTTTACCCATACCCTGTTGAGATTTAATGCCATCAAAACTTTTGTTACAGGCATTAAATAATAAGTATGATAAAGAATAAATAAAAAAAATATTTTTTGATAAAAAGCTTTTGATATCAAAAACAAATTTTCATGATATTATGCCCTAGCTGCATATGTCACCAAATTAAAGGAAAAAACATGTGCTGCTATTGACGATATTTGAAATAGTGACCTTTCAATCTCTAACTGGATATTCTAATGCTTGACAAAAGGGAAATTAATTTGCCCCTTCACGAAGTCTTTGACTCGAAGATGACTACAACTCATACCTAGTTCATAATCACCAATGAAGAATCTCATCCTATGGTTTCTACACATCGCGTCCGAATAAGTTGGATTATAGCCGTGGCCATTAAGACAATCTGGCCTCTCAACTTCTGCAGATTTTCACCGAGAATGGGTTATACGGGGCGGTTATACGAGCTATAGGTTTTTGTTTCATTGGCATGTACAATGTACTACCATGTGTACAGATGTATGCTAAATCGACATTTTACCTTCCCGCATCTTCTGGTCGAGCTCGTCTATTGTTGGTTCGATCAGCTCCCATCCCTCTGGAGGAGGTTTCCTACTTCTTTTGACTTTTGGCATGACGATATTTTAACCGCAGAACGAGATCAATTGTTTATCTTGTTGCGTGTTATTTTCGTACGTAGAACGACGAGGTCTCGAGTGTAACACAAGAAACTCATTGGGTTTCCACATCTACTACATAAAGAGTGTCTGCGTGCTGAGTGAGATTGCGACTGCCTTCTTTGGGAAGAGTCGCTTGCACTTCCGGTTTGTGACGAACCCAGCTCGAGGTTTGAAAGAAGCTAAAACCCCGAAAAAGTTTCTATTTCGTCAAGTTGAAAGGTTCCTGTAGACGATAATGCCAAGAGGTAATGAATATGTATTGTCTGTGACTGTTAAAAGGAGGTAATAACTACTTCAAACGTCAAATGTGATACAGCAGTCTAACCACATGTGACTAGTCCAGTTCACACGCGAATATACAAAAAACTAATTACAAGATGTAGCAGATGTGATATAAAACTAAGGCTTTGTGTATATATATAACGTAATGTGTGTGTCATTTTATTCTTACAATAAAGAACAACACTAGGTAAACACCTAATACAACCCTGTTTATAAATATAGATACAGCTTATGTTATAGTCTTTTATGAGGTATTTGACTATTTTTAGATCAGCTGTAATTACATAATGTGTGGAAATGAAAGTGATTAAAAAACAGACAAAACTAACAAACTGCATATATGCTATCGTGTTTATCGCAAAATGGATTAAGAAATTCTTACATTGATTTGGTAGAGTGGCAATTTTCAAAATACCACAGAAAAATGTAATTTACTCATTCCGTGGTCAAAGTTTTCATTTGAAAATTAAAAATTAACCTGGTACTGAAATCTTTAGGTTATTCAGATAAATTTCACAAATATATGCATTAATATGGCTTGAGATGCATGTTGCCAAAAGCTTAAGGATAAAGAACAATTTTAATCAAGATAATGGCAATCCTGTTACCTGATTTCTGATTTCTACATCGCTTTCTTTAAATGATAAATGGATCGTCTCTTACACAGAGGGTGCCAAAGGGTTTGGATTTGGCTGGAAACTTGCTTTATTTGATGTCTGTTTAATAATGATAAACTCATGTTTGGACGTACTGGCAAGTTTTGATTTTTGTTTGAGTTTAGTTATATTTTAAAATCTGTGAAATTCCCTAAAGATTTTATGATATATGATTGAAGCCTTGAAACAGACATAATTCTACAAAGGATTTTCTGCTGATAAATATTATGATCTGCCATTATGAAAATATGACAAATAATCAGATGACTATTGAGTTGACTATAAGTCTGGAAAAGTTCTTTCTGAAATGCAGTGGTTAATATTTTGGAAAAAGAGAATTGCCAGCTTTCAACAGTTTAGCAGATATACCAGAAATTCCAGAAATCTCTTTACAATCTAGTTTGAAAATTCGATTGGGTATAATAGGTTAATTGGTATTTGATCAAGTAAAAGATCGCAAACCGAAACATTCACTCAATAGATGTTTAATTGTAGAAATTCAAAATAAGATGGCTACAAAGGTCATTATAACATTCAAGGTCCTTACTAATATCACCAGCAACATTTGTCAATTACGAGTTAAAAGTATACCAACTTAATAATCCTTGTTTTGGTGGGGTTTTGCAGCAAATTGATTGTTACATGCTCACGTGATATTACCAGACACAAAACGAGTCATTATGCATTAGCATTGACATTACACCTGAATATATTATTGATTTCTTTAGGGGGTGCAAGAGGAGGTGGCAGAGGAGCCAAGCGTATATTCAAGGGTCAGAGACGACATTTCACAAATGAAGACCAAATCAATTCAGACTTGGAGAAAGCTGAGCGTGAACAGCAATGGCGGGTATGACATATCAGTAATGTGATATCCCATTCTTGTTGTAGTGGATCACAGAATCATGCATTCCTTAGAGGACTGTTCAGTTATACATATATAGTAAACCTCCAGTCTGTTCAAATTGATGGATAGTTCAAATACATGATTTTATCAATAAAAACATTACTTTTCTGTCTAGTAATAGTTTGAACCCTTTCTAGTCTTGTTTCACCTACAATGTGAAACAAGACTAGAAAGTGCTCACAAAACCTTGTTGATTGCAAAATTGGTGTCTTGTTATATCCACTTACTATTTTTGTGAATAAGACTAATTAGATTAACTAAAATTGAAGTTATCTATATTCATGGCAATACCTTATTTTGATATTGAGCAATGTCAACCCAGATAGTTCAAACTATTATTTATTTTGACCAGCATAATTTCATATAATTTGGACGGATTCAGCAATATGTGTTCAATTTCGTTCAAACTGACCGAAGGTTTACCATATTCACAATATGTACATTGGATAAGTTGTTAATAGTTGGAACAAGTAGGAATGAAGACTAGCAGTGCAACTTGTATTATATTGGCATTGGTACTACCATGATTTAAATTTTGTCAGCAGCCAATTTTCTGTCCTGTGTCTTGTATTTTTGAAAACTTATTATAGGTAATAGAACAAACGCAACAAATTTGATTAGCAATGTAAAAACAGTTGTGTTCATCCTTGAAAACAGATTAAACATGAATGTATCTTGCTTTGTTACATAAATCCAGGGGTAGAGACAACACCGTAAATTCTTATTGAGGTTCCGTTGGTTCTTTATATCCCTTGCCTGGATACCACCCGGTATACAGGGCGATTGAAGAATAGGGGAAACTAAGTATATAAGTCAATCGCAACAGGTTCGGGATAAGTTGATGTTTTATTAGTGTGAAACAGCTACCGGTTTCGCCTGAACAGTGGTAGACGTTTCACACTAATAAAAAATCAACTTATCCCGAACCTGTTGCAATTGACTTATATACTTTGCTTTGTTACAGATATTTTTGTATTTTATTTTGTAGCATCCTACATTATATTTTGTACTGTGCCACATTTTCACACCTACTAAAACATTAGCAATAATTCTTTATATAATATATATCACATTGTTGTAGTCATCACAAAAATAACTTAAAATAATATATATATGGACTCAAAGATTGTTAACAAACATCTCAAGAAAATAAAAATATCACTAGTTTCAGTGAAAAACAAAAAAAAAAGAAATTTTTAGTATGTCACCTGATGTAAAGTGGCATTGGGCTTATACATTTTATGGTATGATGTTATACCTTTCTGCCAATGTTTTCTTTTAACGGCTTCTTAGGATATGAATGAATACTAACTCTTTTGCAAGGAGGTTAATTTTTAACTGTACTTGAAACTTTAGATTAGACTTGAATTATGACTTTAGAAACAAAAGTTATTACTTATTCCTGTCACATTTTGTTGATTTTATTTTTTATCTCAATTACCATTATATGAAAGAAATTATGTATTTTCTGTGAGACTTTGCTCAGTATCTATCAAAGTAAAGACAAAGGCAAAGGGCATTCACTTACATGTTTTATATTCAATGACACTACAAGGTTAGCACTGAGTTCATTTCAGGTGTTGATTTGATGATAAAATTAAGATACTTCATGCACTGTTTAGCCTATATGAGTGATGGTTAATATTCTTTAGTGTTAAGTAAAAACCCTGTACTTCTTTGGTATATTGTAGAAAGCAAGAGGAGAGGTTGGTGTTGGTGATGATGGAGTACAGCCCGGAGACCTCCCACCCTCTGACTCGGAATCAGAGGAGACAGACTCGGAAGATGAAGTGGTGATTTATTAAAGATATTTAAAATGTTTATCAGAAATATCATATTCATTAGGTGATGTGGTAATTACAATTAGGTTATTTTTAGAGACTTACTTCTTTTTTGTCGTGTATTGTTTTATTGATCATTTATGTGCATATTTGTAAACTCATTCCTGTTATAAGTACTATTATTTGATATCTAGATAAAGATAAGTTTTTCCAAGGTAGATAAAAAAATCAGCTGAATAAATGAAAGAACAATTCCCTTTTTAGTATCCCTTTTTAGTATACATATAACTGAACCCAATCTTGAATGTGTTGAACTATGCATTTGCTGGTAAAAGTAAACAGAACATCTTGCAGTTGTTTTTGTTCTTTTTGTGCTTTTCAGTAGAGATTAATTATCAAGCATCCTTGAATAATAACGTAATTTTATTTTGAATGTCTAAATATACAGGCAAAACCAAAAGGAGTGGCACATTTGATTGAAATAGAGAACCCTAACAGAAAGAATCGTTCTCAACTAAGGAAGGTTACAGATGATGCTGCTAATACAAAGACAGAGTTATCCAGGAGAGAAAGGTAAGACAAATCACTACAAGTAGATATTATGTTTTATAACAGAATTAAAAAGTCAATTTTTGGCAAAGCATCAGATGGATTTTTCAAATCACCCTGCATCCATGTTTCTTTGTCCGGGCCCTGTCTGTCCTCAAACAATTCTTGTGATTGCTATATTTCTTAAGAAGTATTCGATGGATCTTTTTCAAATTTCATATGTAGGTCGCCTTTGGCTCCTTCTCTTGCATTGGCCCATTTTTCTGATTGATCTGAAAACATGACTGACCTGTGGCTATCTTGCATTTTGACAGTAATAGTTTGTTATTGCTATTTCTGGAGAAGTACTGGATGTAGGAACCCCTTTGTCCTTAGTTATGCATTGTCCCATTTCTGGACTGATTTGAAAAAACCTATGGCCAGAAAGGTGGACATCATGTTTTTTGACAGTCATAATTTATCCTTTCATCCATTTCATGTTTACATTCCCTTAGAGCCGCAGTTATGCACTTGTGATTTTGGAACTGATTAAAAATACAAAATGGCTGAATGGCGGCCCTCTTGGATTTTGACTAAGAGAATTTGTTACCACTCTTTCTTGGGAAGTACTCAATGGATCTTTCATATGTAGATTCCTCTTGGTCCCTTGATACTTGGTATGCCCTTTTCATTTTGGGACTGATTTGAAAATCAAAGATTGTCGGCAAGGCTACAATCTTGGATTTGGGAGTCGCAGATTGTTATCGCTATTTCGTAAGAGGAATTTTCAAATTTCATTTAGTTAAGAGCAAAGACAGAGAATCGGAGAAAACAAAATGGCTGGCAGGTGGCTATATTGGATTTTGAAAATGAGAATTCTATTTCTTGAGAAATACTGGATGAATGAAATTATATAGGTTTTTCTTCGTTTCTAATTGTGCCCATGCAATTTTTGTAATGATCAGAAAAAACAAAATAGTCAAGAAGGATCAGATCCAACTCTTGATGAACAAATAGTGGTGGTTGCCAAGATTCCTCTTGGATCTCCTTGTTAAGATTCATCGGAACTAGATGGCATATCTAAAACCAAAGAATACAGATCACCATAAAGAAGATGTAAAAAATGAGTATTTGCCACTTTCATTATATTGATTGTGAAAATGAAACCATTAAATATCATAGGAATATTTGATATCTCATTCCTTTTATCTATTATACTGCTCACATTTTTACTGGATTTGTGAGTGTGGTCATGTCAGGGTGTTAGTTGCTTTCTAGTGTATCTGTGAATCTGATGTCACTCTATATTTTTCTGATATCTGGTTGGCAGTTATTGTTTTCTTTCATTTGTGAATCCGAGGTCAGGGGATCAACTGCTTTTTGCTGTGTTTACAAGTCTGAAGTCTGGTTGTCAATCGCTTACAACTTCACTTGTAAGTCTAATCTCTGGTGTCAGTTGCTGTCTTCTGCATTTGCTTGTGATGTTAGTGTTAAATGTATTCAACCATGTTTGTATATCATATCTCTAGTTGTCAACTGTTGTCTTCTGCATTTGTTAGCGAGTTCAATGTGTCAGTTGCTGTCTACTGTGTTTTCAAGTCTGATGTCACCCTTTGTGAGTCTGGTCTTTCAACAAAATTACCAAGAGGTGACATAATTACAGGGAGGAGATAGTAACAAAACATTACAATATTACAGGGAGGAGACATTAACAAAACTTTACAATATTACAGGGAGGAGATATTTACAAAACTCTACAATATTACAGGGAGGAGATATTTACAAAACTCTACAATATTACAGGGAGGAGACATTAACAAAATTTTACAATATTACGGGGAGGAGACAGTGATAAAACCTCATAATAATATGGTGAGGAGTTTGGGAGGAGACATTAACAAATACTTTGCAATATTGTAGAGAGGAAATAGAAAAACAACAAGCAAGAGAAAACTACCAGAAACAACACATGGCTGGTAATACAGAGGAGGCAAGGGCAGATTTGGCCAGACTGGCAATCATCCGAAAACAGAGGGAGGAGGCAGCAAAGAAACGTGATCTAGAGGCTGAGAAAGGTTTTTACTTTAACTCAATCTTTTAGTGATGTACTAATCAACCAAAGTCTTTATCTACTTAAAGATACCTCAATAAGTAGCAAATTCAGGTAAAGATCCAGGTATGCAGGTGGTTCAGTGTTGGGGTATGTAGGTGGTTCAAAGTTGCCTACATGTAGTTAGGTTCTTGCTTCTCTGGAAGCTGAGAAGTAGACTGATCTGTCATTGTTGTTTCCTTAGACAGGACACTTTTTATCCCAATGACTCTGGATGGCTCTACTGGCCTCCTGTGTGTTACTCTGAATCAGTAAAGTTGCCATGAACCCCACCTTAAAATGATCATTGCAATTGACAGGCAGTAAAGCAGGCAAAAACAGTCAAACTCATCAACCCAAATTCTTACCTGTATGCTAATAAAAGTGTCTAATCAACTGACTTAATAAACCACAGGGCTTAATCATCTGCATATCTCCAATCCCAATCATATTTTGTTTTACAACTGCATTCTTACTGATCAACCAACAAATCCCAGTTCTTAGTTGTCTGCTAGTGCTCATTCATTATCTACCGTTTCTTACACATACTTAAAACGTACCAGGTCTATAGTCAGTATATAAGCATTGTCTGATTTTAGATTAGAATTATAAATGAAATAACACTTAACGCAATTTCACAGGATTTAAAATTTAAGTGCTCTCTTGATCAAATATGGTTTACATGTACCATGTGCTGTCTCCAAAATGAAACTTTTCTTTTTCTTATTTCAGCCAAACAAGCAGCAGCAAAGAAAAAATCCTGATATTGCTACGCATAGATAATTCAAATATTTAAATGAATGAAGATGTTTAAGGAATGGGGATACAGCCAGACTAAAGTGATGGATGGTGGGGGTGAGGTCAGAGGCTTCCCTCTAAGGCATGTTACATTAACCTGGACCTGCGGCTGACAGCTTCCTTGGTTGTTGTGTTCTCTATAAGTCTTTTCCATTGTTACCCAAATTAAAGTTACATTGTACTTGATATACACACATGGTAGACATTAACAATAATTTGAATTTAAGAAATATCACATATTATTATTATAATATCTACAGTGCATTTTGATTCAAATTTACAAATGGTAATCGTGAATACACTATTCCCTAGCACAATTTGTATCTCCTCCTTACTGATCATCTTTATAGCTCACAGTTCAGGCAAGGAGGAGAGATTCTTCAAAAATTAACAGATTGAGAATTAAATTTCTATAGAGCAATTTCAGGGATGTTTCACATAGCTTCTATAATAGAAGATTAAAGAAGAGGAAAAAGGAATAGATGTTTTGTATTTCAAATAGTGTTGTGAATATACCACAATGCCTAAATATCCACTGTGGCAGGTATACTTGTCAAATTTGTAAGAAACTGTTTTCTACTTACAACATTGTTATACTTTATAATCTTACACACCTACAATAAATGATGCAAATATTTAGTAAATTGTCAGTAGAAGCGCTTAATTGCTTGAAGTCTTTTTATGTTAGGTATATAAATGCAGGTGTACATGCTAAAAGTCTGAAATGACTATGCAATTTTTGTACCATAATTTATTACCTAGGTAAATGATAAAAGAGAAAAATACCTATGGGTTTGTCTGTAAAACATCCAATCATGTAATAGTGATTAATTTTCATGTCAAGATCAATTATTTATATTTTGGTACCATCAGGATGCATCAAGATATACTGAGAGTCCATTACTTTTCTTATTACTTGTTCAAATGAAGATGTTTTGAGACCCAGACGTTGACAAGGGTTCCATAAACAAAATGTTTCAGCAAATTCCCAATCCTCACGATCATGAAACGATGACAGCTGAAAAAATAACTTGGGAGAGGACACATGTTTGTGTACTTCACGTAGTTATAATTGCCAAATAGAAACATTTCCAGTTTAAAAAAGAAAAGAAACAGAATCATGTTAATTTTTCTCTCTATCTTGTATAAATTATGCTGAAAGTTTTAGAATTTTCATTCAGATATATAGTTTCTGATTCATCCATCATGTGCACATAAACATGTTTGCATTTTTTTCTCATTCGAGAATTTTTTAATACTTAACAGCTATGAGTTTTCTAACCTATTTTCATCGTTGTTTTGATGATTTGAGAATTTCTGGAACATGTTCTCTTGTCTGAAGAGTTTTAAGTGTAAACTCTCAATACATAGTATCATTTTATCAAAATTTAATTTGAAAACATGTTTACAATGCACAATAATGTGTATTGTCACAATAAACTGAATTACCAGTCTTTTAAAACAAAATTTGATTGCCCAAGATTAATTATCTTACAAGCTGATTTTATTTTGGGATGTCTTTGTTATTACTGGTATTTACTGTTTTTAAAAATGTGAATAAATGATATAAGCTTCAATAATAATGAAATTTCAAATTCTGTTTTGGAGACGGAATGTTTGGTCTATACTTACAAGATAGTTAACTCAAAAACAATTTAAGCTTCTCCAACCTTTAAATGATAAAATGAATGGAATTTTATATCAAATTATGAAATACAGTTTAGAGGAAATTATTTTATTGCAAGTATAAATTACTGATGGTAAAATGATATTTTTATGACACCATTAAGACTTCCAAAATTTGGATAAATTTGGAGAATGGTCTTTCTTTTGTATTGATGTATCCATTGTGTTTAAAAGTTTGTGGTATGCTTTCTGAAGTCAACATTAAAGTGCTCAAAAAGTAGTGGTACATGTAGAATGATTGGAATGTAAATCATGTGATTTTCTCAAAGCAAATGCATTATTACATGTCTTAGGTGGCATTATGGTATATTGACATTTTCTGTAAACATAGGGTTACTGCTACCATAATGGTCAAGTGCTATTCTGAATAAAATATCTCATGTTTATTTCATTTCACTGTGTTTTTTATAAGTTTGTTTTTTCTTTTTCTTAATTCTTTAGATAAATCTAAGTATATTGTACCAATTTAGCATCACAAATAACCAAGGATCTAGGTTTTAAAATTGTTGGTAGTTTTAAAATGGTAGGAAGTTTGTTGTGAAGGGACATATATAAGTTGATGTATGTATGCCGTTAGTTAAAATGGTGTGAAAAAAACTGTTGATTATTGATAACTTGGTTACAACGCACATTGACAGGTTGATCAGCAGATTCCAGCATACCTTCCACCTTTTGTTGTAGAAAAAATAAAATATAAACACACATAGCATGGAACACTTTATTAAATCAACTATTCGCAGTTTTTCCCAACATTGATAACATACATAATTTTTCCTTCCTAACAACATTTGTGTCATGGTGGCCAATCACACATGTACATGGTGTAGGTAAACAACTTCAGCAAGCTGTATTTACCTGCAAAGGTAAATATTTTCATTTAAGCAGATATCAGAATTTCATAAGTAACTGGTCTTGATGATAATGATCATTAAAATGATATTATATTTATCTAAAGAGATTCAGACAATGTATTCCTTCAATAAAAATGAAGTTAGGTTATCTAGTGCAGAACATCATGCAAAGTCATGAATCTCTTTTCCAGTAAATATAAGAACATTTTCTGAAGAAGGACAATGAATCAGACCTATGACATAGGTGTGTGCAAAAATCTAGTGCATACAAGAGCACTTAAAACTTCTTGGTTTTTTTTGCAACCATTGCAACATTTATCAAATCTAACAGTACAGCGATCTTTGGCCCTAATTTAGTATACATTAGTATTAAATAAAATTGGTCATCCTTACTAACACATATCAGCACTGTCATTGATCTGTATCTTTCACTCTAGCTAGCAGACATCAACAAGACCTGTTTCACTGACTAGCATACAGTTACATCTGTACTCAAAGGAGCCTGTCATACATCTGTAAGAAAATTTCACTTTCATCACATATTAAGGATGTATGCTACCTTATAGTGATATGCATTTGGAAAAAGAGTTCCATACAACTTGTAAGCCATTCGTTCAAAGCAGATACCTGAACTTTGTCTTTGACAGACAAAAGCAGGGTGTTTGCATAGACATCTATAAGGCAACATGTACCCTTAATGAAATATTTTATAGCCAACAGTAAGTCCACATTGTTCTCCACTACCACAGAGGTAGGATTAAAACAGTTATACACAACGCTGTCAGGAATGAGCACTAAGAGAGAGCTGTTGTCAAGATTCACCCTGTGTACCCTTTAAATACCACATTGGACCCTTCTGCACACAGTAATCCTGTAACACAGAAAATTTGTATAAATAAATATAAATGAGATTCCTGATATATACAGGTATCATGTGAGCTTGTGAGAGAGAAGATGGAGCTAATATAATAACTATGGCAACACATGCTTTGAGATAAGATGGAAATTAAAACAAACATTTACTCTATTTATCTGCAAATAAACCCCTGCCCACAAATCCTTTTCTTCTTTTCCACATAATCATTAATTTTACAATGGTAAGCCAAAAATAGATCCTCAAACTTTAAAAATAAATTTTTCTACAGAAGCACCACTTTACTGTCTTTAGTGACATTTCTTATCAGTTTCACACACATATATATATATATGTATATGAACCGGGGGTCAAAGTGCTTCTAATGCATTTTAAGATAAATATAGATTGTTTTTAAGTTTGTGTTATAGACTTGAATCACACACTTTGAGATAATTAATTTGACTAACAGTCTGGGTTCATGCTGATTGAAGCACTGATTTTGACTAATAGTCATAAGTTATGGCCATTGCCAGCAACTTTGACTTAAAGTCTTGAGTTATACCCACTGAAGCACTGACCTTGAGTAACAGTCTTGAGTTATACCCACTGAAGCAATGACCTTGAGTAACAGTCTGACGTTATACCCACTGAAGCACTGACCTTGAGTAACAGTCTGACGTTATACCCACTAAAGCAGTGACCTTGAGTAACAGTCTGACGTTATACCCACTGAAGTAATGACCTTGAGTAACAGTCTTGAGTTATACCCACTGAAGCACTGACCTTGAGTAACAGTCTGACGTTATACCCACTAAAGCAGTGACCTTGAGTAACAGTCTGACGTTATACCCACTGAAGCACTGACCTTGAGTAACAGTCTTGAGTTATACCCACTGAAGCAATGACCTTGAGTAACAGTCTGACGTTATACCCACTGAAGCACTGACCTTGAGTAACAGTCTGACGTTATACCCACTAAAGCACTGACCTTGAGTAACAGTCTGACGTTATACCCACTGAAGTAATGACCTTGAGTAACAGTCTTGAGTTATACCCACTGAAGCACTGACCTTGAGTAACAGTCTGACGTTATACCCACTGAAGCACTGACCTTGAGTAACAGTCTTGAGTTATACCCACTAAAGCACTGACCTTGAGTAACAGTCTGACGTTATACCCACTGAAGCACTGACCTTGAGTAACAGTCTTGAGTTATACCCACTGAAGCACTGACCTTGAGTAACAGTCTGACGTTATACCCACTGAAGCACTGACCTTGAGTAACAGTCTTGAGTTATACCCACTGAAGCACTGACCTTGAGTAATAGTCTGACGTTATACCCACTGAAGCAATGACCTTGAGTAACAGTCTGACGTTATACCCACTAAAGCACTGACCTTGAGTAACAGTCTGACGTTATACCCACTGAAGCACTGACCTTGAGTAACAGTCTGACGTTATACCCACTGAAGCACTGACCTTGAGTAACAGTCTGACGTTATACCCACTGAAGCACTGACCTTGAGTAACAGTCTGACGTTATACCCACTGAAGCACTGACCTTGAGTAACAGTCTGACGTTATACCCACTGAAGCACTGACCTTGAGTAACAGTCTGACGTTATACCCACTAAAGCAGTGACCTTGAGTAACAGTCTGACGTTATACCCACTAAAGCAGTGACCTTGAGTAACAGTCTGACGTTATACCCACTGAAGCACTGACCTTGAGTAACAGTCTGACGTTATACCCACTAAAGCAGTGACCTTGAGTAACAGTCTGACGTTATACCCACTGAAGCACTGACCTTGAGTGATACTCTGAGTTTTACCTACTGAAGCACTGACCTTGAGTAACAGTCTGACGTTATACCTACTGAAGCACTGACATTGAGTAACAGTCTGACGTTAAACCCACTGAAGCAAAGAAATTGAGTAACAGTCTGACGTTATACCCACTGAAGCACTGACCTTGAGTAACAGTCTGACGTTATACCCACTGAAGCAAAGACCTTGAGTAACAATCTGACGTTATACCCACTGAGGCACTGACCTTGAGTGATACTCTGAGTTTTACCCACTGAAGCACTGACCTTGAGTGATACTCTGAGTTTTACCCACTGAAGCACTGACCTTGAGTGATACTCTGAGTTTTACCCACTGAAGCACTGACCTTGAGTGATACTCTGAGTTTTACCCACTGAAGCACTGACCTTGAGTGATACTCTGAAGTTATACCCATAGAAGTGCTGACTGAGTAATAATCTGATGTTATACCATTGAAGCACTGACCTTTAGTAATAATCTGGAGTCATATTCATTGAGCTGTAGACCTGTTTCATCCTCCACACATTGTAGAAAAGTTTTCCGTGATATTTTATGTGACTTTTCAAACATACCCAGTAAGATTGCTCTCATCTAAACAAAATAGAAAATATACATCACAATTTCTCTATGAAAACAAAAGACTATATATTAATGGGGGAAAATAAGTCTGTCCTAAATATTGGATAACTTCATTACAGTCGGTACACAAATATATGTAACCCTTCCAGGTGGTCAAACCACAAATATTTCTCTACTTGATAAACCTGAATTAATTTATCTAAATTATCAAAATCACTGCTTACTTTATCCAATTTGTCCCCTGTTTTTGGTAGAGCATAAATTGGTTCTGCTTTGGTATTGGAAGGCCACTGAAATTAAAAGTAAAATGTCATCAACATGGTTATTATTGTCAATAAAATGTTACACAATATAAGTACAATGTGTACAATCAAGACTGAAAAAAAAATAATGAGATGAAATATCTGTCCTCTATTTATCACACAATAGAAATGGCTTTCCTAACTCAAACTGAACAAAAACCAACAACTGTAAGAAACGTTTGACTGTTCAAATACAACATCACACCATATAAAAGGCAACATCAACATTTTCCTCTTTTTGGACAGGTAAGGAAAATATTACAATGCCATAATATCCTCAACAAACCAATTCACATCAATGGAAACAAGAACATTCAGTGATCCTCAATGATCACTATTATTCTTAAAATACTTCATATAGCAATTACAGGATTAACAGTTAGCCTGAGATTTCCATATTTAAAACACAATGAAGAGAGAAAGTGACGTGAAATTTGGCATTTCATTCTGGTAAAAAGCATTCTGTGAAGTTCTGTAGTGAAAATGAAATATAGTATAATTAACAGAACTGATGCTTTATCCTTAAAAGACATTTCAAACTAAACATATAATGTTTATTCTATGTTCAAAACTATATGCGGACAGTACTTTAAAACCCAAGTGACAATACCTCAAATTTATGTCTTTTTTAAAGCTTACTAGAAATCACTTTGAGGACAATTAAGCAATCAATAGTAAACTTTTTTGTATTCTATAAGAAATGAGTTAGAAACTCACTTTTTGAAAAACAATATGGTAATGTTTATTTACCTGATTAGATAACCGTACTCCTCCCACTTCTTTGATTGTTTCCTCTAACAAACTGTCTGTGACTCCTGATAAGAACACATGCCCAGACGGACATTGTAACTGTTTTACAGAGAATAGACGTTTAAGTTCACTGGCAGTTAACACAAATCTGCTGTACAATTTTTCTTGCACAAAATTCACAAGTTCTGTCCTCAGCTCCAATGAGACAGAGGAAATATCACAGCTTGCAGCGTTAGCACCACCTGACAACCTTTCCCCATTTATTGCTGGCCCTGTGTCCATGCTCTCCTGCCGAAGAACATCTTCGTCCTCTGTACTATTGTCTACATCAGACTTAAGGGAAATATCCATCTCCACATCACTATGGTCAGACACAGAGCGACCACTAAGTGTTCGTTTACGATTACTACGGGTGGATGAACTGCGTCGTCGCCTTACAACTTTCTCTCCTGCAGGTAACCCAGAGTCTGAAACAGGATAAGGAAACATTTTGTTAACTTATGAGCAAGGACACATGTGTTCAATGAGTAACTAGTTTAACAGATAATATGAAGTGAGATTCTATACAGATGATTTCAAAATACAACAGAAAAAATGTACTCAAGTCTATCACTTAGTAAGGAATATCTCAGTGTTTGATATCCATGTAAATGAGGAAAGAGTTTTGTTTGATACTTTTTTTTCCATGAAAAGATATTTATAAAGAAGGTATTGCAGTCTAAACAGAATAAATAGTTCTCACCTCTGTCTTTGAATTTCTTTTCATGTTCTTTAGGAATCTTCAGTTGATTACATAAACCCTGATATTTAGCATCCCACAACATCTTCTGTCTCTGTACAATTTCTGGATATCTAAAGAAGAAGGCACAACCATACAGACATTGTGTGACAAAATGAATTTAACAATCTCTGAAATCAAAAGCGATATACCAATTTTGAGACAACAGAAGTCAAACAATAAATCTGAACAAAGTTCCTGATTAGAATTGGTACCGTAATGATTTTAAACTTTTTGTTTTTGTCTGATTATTTGAGATTTCTTAAATAAACTTTGACAAATTGTAATGTTCACTTAAAATTGATGAAAACCTGTTCACCAAGTTAACATCTTTTGGTAGTCTGGCAGCCTAGGCAGGAAATAGAGATTGGAAATTTCACTAACGCGAGTCAAAATTTTGGGTAGAATGATGGATAATGCTAAGCTCACTATTAGAGATCCTGTCTCTGTATCATCATCCTTTCAGTAAAAGAAATGATAATGAAATAGTTGTTACCTTCAGAGATAGATGGACACTGGAAACTAGTTATGACACAAGCTCTATTAACAATTCATTAAACAATATAACCAACATACATGTTGATATATCTATAATTAGGTACCTGTTGGAAAAGTCAGAATCGTAAGCAAACAAAAACTCCCAGCCACAGTTAGCTCTAATCCTCGACATCTGCTCAAGAATGTCCTTGACATCCTCCGCTGGAAGCTACAAGTGTAATAAGACATGTTTCAATAATTCAGAATATGAAAATTTTACATCAATCTTCATGCTTATGTATCTATCACAAACATTGTGTGAAAATCGGGACCATAATGCCACTTCTATTTATCAAACAAGGAAATAAACCATTGCAAACGTTTCAAATGTTAACATATAAGTGATATGTAAGTGATCACTAGGAAAAAGCATCAGTGTCTAATGATCACTAGTATATATAGGGATAATTGACAAAGTGAGGTCACAAATCATCAGCAGTGCTCTAAACATTGTCATGTATTTAAACATTAATTATATTCTTCAGTCTCGTATTAAAATTTTGCCGATTTCTATTTCGGAGTTTGTTTTCTTCAGCATATATACATGAGTTCACCAGTATTGTTTTTATCAGATTTGAGTGTGCCAAAATAAGCACACTATCAATATTTGTTAAAACATGTTATAAATATGACATCCGTGTATGTGTCAACATAATACATGGATTTGTTGTATTCACACTGTGAACATGTTTCTTAACGTCTTTGATACAGATGTACAAGAACAGCAAAGTGACCATGTTTTGAGGCAGACATTTGTATCTACATACAAACCTTGACTATGGATGCTATGTCTTTGCGGGTCACATGACTAGACTGTGTGAATCTCCACATCTGTCAACAATAATATTATGTGATTAATTTTCCAATTTATATTGAATACAATATCTACACATTTTGGTTACCAATGTGAAAGATTTCAGAAAATTTATGTTTTAATAATGAAATTTTATCAATTAACGCCAAATTTATCAAAGTGGCAATTATCTTTAAAAATGTAATACTGACCACATAGTCGCGTCCACGACACAGATGATCAGCTGCCACTCCGCTGTGTGGACTGGTGGCCTCCTTAGGGTATAGGATCTCACTATTCAAAACAATTAAATACTCCTGTGAATCTGTATAACCTGTATGACCTGCTTACAAGCTGTATCGTACACTCACGACTCTAGTGGTTGAGAGAAAGGTTTCAACAGTTTATCAGACTAAGGACAATCCATGACAATTTAGATATAACATGATATGTTTGGTGATATAGATATCATATTTGATAAATGATTAAAAAAAAACTTGAACTAACAGTTTTAAAACACTTGACTTCTTACATTTCCAAGACACTTGTGTCATACTCATTGGATAGTAACACAGTTGAACAGTATGAGATTCATGTGTATTGAATAGTAAAACAGTTGAACGATATGACATTCATGTGCATTGAACAGTAAAACAATTGAACGATAGAACAAGTTACAAGTTTTTGACTTTTTTTGGTGCCTATCTGACCTTTTGACAACCCAGCAGCCCTGAACAAGGACAGCCACCTGCTGAAGAGAGCGAAGGGCTCCCATGCTTTCTGTACCCTGTGGAAGTAGTGCCATCAGCTGACTGAACCTCATCACCTTTGCTGCAAACAAATGTACCAATCGCAGGAAATCAAATTTTATTTCAAAAACTACATCTTACACATTTATACTATAATGGTTCCACAGCAAAATTGTCCTATTTATGAATTTCAAATTACTAAATAATTTAAAGGACACTGACAAATTCCTAGCAGTTAAGAAGGACATTCAGATTGATTAAATTGCACTTGATTTTCAAATTGAGAAATCATCTTCATAGTTGTGTTAGACAGAGGATTTCTTAATTACTTGTTTCTATTAACCTCTGTGTTCCATATCACATGAGACAAAACTAACTGATATGAAATGTGTTTCTCACTGATATAAATCAAACATACCATTAGTGAGGAGAGCCTTGATTTGGTCAGGGAGAGGCATAGTCCTTAGCTGTGTCAGTGATAACACATTACTAGGCATGGCTGGTTTCTCTCTATTAAAGGTAAATAATAAATGCAGTATTTTCAACACTGAATTATAAATTATCAAGACTGGAAATAAATCTATTTATAAGAATTAAAAAAGAACATTTAACAACTATTCATTTTATAATAACCAATTAGAAATTAGTATACCAAAGTGTAGTTAGTCTCCAACATTGGCTAATCCCAAATATGTCTAAAAGGTGGAATGTAACAAGACTGGTAGGAATAAAATTAGAGAAATCATCCATCCTGGAAGTACAGAACAGACCAAGAATGGAGGAAACAAGACTTACTCCTGTGTCTCCCCAAGAGGAGGCACCAACATTCTCAGATACTCATTGGCCTGAATCTGGAACTCGGATATCTCATCACCTTTGGAGGAAACCAACTTCAGGCGCTCTGATTCTGCTACACCACTCTGTGAATAAAGGATATTGGTACAAAACATTACTATTTTTTTCACTATTCAAATTTCGTTACTTCCAAGAAAAGATGTTCACTGTAACTTAATATCAAGTTATTAATATCAAAGTGTTTGATCTGTTATCTGTTCAGAAAATAAAGAAATATTGAGTACTACTTACGACCATTTCTAGAAGGAGCTGAAAAATAAATTAAGTTTTTTATCAGGTGGAATAAAACATGCAGAGACAGAATATGTGATCTGACATACATTGATGTTATAAAAGTGAAGTCGATGCCAAGCTTCCTCTTCTTGTTTCTTCTGTAAGTAGTCATAAGATGCCAGTCGTCTTGCTTTAGCCTCATCTGTTTCTTGGCGAGCAAATTTCATTGCAATTGGTTTGGCTTCTTCTTCTGCTTCGTCCTGGGAGGATTCTCCTTGAAATAAGGTAGACATGAAGGTATTAACTTGCAGTTTCTCCTTTGTCAAGGTAACAATTAATGTTATAATTAATATTATTACTAGATGATTATGAACAGTGTTCAGAAATTACTTTCATGTGAAAGAGACACTATTATGTTGACAACCCTTTGGTGTGTGACTAGACACTTAATATGTTGAAACCCAAACATGTATGACAGGTCATTAGCCTTTGAAATCCCTCAAGTGTATAACTGGTCATTAGTCTTTGAAAACCCTTAGGTGTGTTACTAGTTATTAGCCTTTGAAAACCCTAAGGCATGTGACTGGTCAAACTAATTCTTTGAAAACCTGAAGATGTGTGACTAGATAATAATCCTTTAAAAACTTCAAAGTGTGTGACCAGTCATAAATCCTTTAACACCTGGACTTAATTATCCTTTGACAATACTCAGAATAATGTTAACAAACACCAGGACACATGAAGAATCAATTATATTTAAATTCTTCCCACATTAAGAAGAAAAGCGTAGTAGTATTTTTTTCATATCACAAATTTGTTGCCAATGTTTCAGAAATAAAAGTTTCCAACTCTGCACGTTTCTATAGAATTGATTGTTCTAATTCTTGATTGATGAGACATGTCTACACTACCTCCAGCATCTCCTGCTCCAATCTCCACTTTTACCCGACTGTCTGCACTATCCAAGTAGTCAAAATTAGGTCTCAATTGGACAATGGCATGCAGAGGTGTTAGGTGTACCTCTCCTGCAACAAGTAACACCAGTTATATACATGTATACAAACAATCGGAAATTCATGGCAGCTAAATGAACAAGAGACTCATAGGGTCTGTATCACCTGAGTTAGTTTGCAGAAACTGACTTATTTTAGTTATGGGAAAAGTGTTTATAATAGGTTTGACACTCCTCCAAAAGGGGGTTCCATGCAGCTGTTTGTAAAAAATTAAGTTCTCTTCAGTTCCAATATAACAGAGATTTTAAGGAATTAACTCTGTGTCCACTATTTGGTCCCAGCCCTCTGGTCCCAATGGACCAAAGTCAACTGTTCATACAAAATTGATCCCTTTTTTTGAAGCATGTCTCACAACAAATTGGAACAGAATAAAGGCGTTCCTACACAAGAACAAGATAGATTTTTAAGAAATTAATAGATTTTCCCTATTGGATCCTGCCTCTCTGGCCCCAAGGACCAAGACCCACCATTTATACAAAACTGATTTTTATTCAACCAAACATGCTTCAGATCAAATTTGGACATTATCCTGTAATTCCTGAAGAAAGATATAAATTTTAAAGAATTGACAGATTATTCCTATCGGGCCCCATCTCTCTGGCACCCTGCCTCCCCTTGTCCCACCATTCATACAAAACGGATTTTCTTTCACCTAAGCATGCTTCAGACCAAATTTGATTAAAATCTGCTCAGTTGTTCATAAAAAGTTGCAATATATAGTAAAAGTGGGCCAAGACCCACCATTTATACAAAACTGATTTTCTTTCACCTAAGCATGCTTCAGACCAAATTTGATTAAAATCTGCTCAGTTGTTCATAAAAAGTTGCAATATATAGTAAAAGTGGGCCAAGACCCACCATTTATACAAAACTGATTTTCTTTCACCTAAGCATGCTTCAGACCAAATTTGATTAAAATCTGCTCAGTTGTTCATAAAAAGTTGCAATATATAGTAAAAGTTGACAGACGCCATGGTATCCCAATTGCTCACTTGACCCTTCGATCAATGTGAAAATAATAACTGTGGGGATGAAGGGTGGAGTAACAACCTCCCTCAATGTCTAAATCTTTATGTCTAAATCTTTTCTTAAATACTGACCAAATTTATACACAAGGTCTCACTGGGGTAATCTATGTGACAAAGCTGATAGGAGCAGTTCAACACTGCATTTCAATCGTACATTTCCTTTACTTACCATCTTTCCAAACTCCAACTGCGTACCTGCCTGCTGTCTCAGTACAAGCCACGCTACTCAACACCTGTTTGTCCATCATTCCACTGCAAACCAAACTATCAAATATCATACAGGTGTCTACAAAACTATAATTATCTTTAGATGTTTTTCTAGTTATGGTACAAATGGTCTTCAAAGTGAGAAACTTAAGAAATTACCGTTTACAAATTTGAATTTTGAAGTAAACAGAAATGATTGAGCTTAGTAAGTATCAAAGACCTGATGTAATGGCCTGACTGATTGCTGCTCCCATCTACATTGATGGCAATCTGTTCTCCTTTACTCCGTGCATAGTTGTCTCCCCTGGTGTTGAGACCCAGTTCTATCTCAACTTTCTTCTGATCAGGTTTGATCTTAGTATTGAGGTGAGAAGCTTCATCATATGTCATGTGAGCAGGGCGCACTGGATACTGGAATAGGTGCAGCTTGTCGGCCAGGGTTTTGGATAAATATACATTAACCTAAACAAAAACAAATTATCATATATTCTGAATCATAAAATAGCATGAAACACACAATGCCTTCAACAAGTACAGCATTTAGATGCGGATTTTTTCAATGGCAACAAACTGAGGTTATTACTGGAGTGTAAAACTTTTTTCCAATACACTAGCCCATGGCTAGTAGCCTACTGAAATCTACTAGCCTGATACAATATACTGCTAGCCCCTAATATTTCCACAACTACATGAAACATCAAAGGGATGTTTATGAAATGATTATTTGAAAACCTCTAAGAAATAATGCTTTAATCATTTTTATTATTAAAAAAAAATCATACACTGAAAAACAAAGAAAAATATTGGAAAAATATTCACATTCTGGCTCCACTAGATTCTTATTTAAAATAAAAAGTGTTTGATTTCATGACCAATGACTGTTATTTTGACAGTCAGTCTTACCCTCTGAGAATTTTTTGTTGACTTTAGAAAACTCATACTTTTGCCAAGCAGGTTTAGGACATTTTATGTCAGGGTATCAATAAACAAGAGGCCCAAGGGTCTTAATGGTCACCTGAGTTACAATGCTTCTTGTAACATGTCATTCAAATGAATTTGTTAAAAAAAGGTAAGATAACTAACTACATTGTACACACAGTGCAAATGTAAACTGTGCAAAACATAACTGCTGTCCCATGCTAAGACTTCTAACTAAGTTTGAACTAAAAGAAATTTAACTAAAAAATTGAATTTTCCTATATAAAATCAACAGTAGAACATCTTCAAAATTTCAGGCAATTTGACCCATTTTAGGCCCTGCCTATAAGCCTAGGGATCAGCTTAGGATAATATGGGCATCTCATCAAAACTCTCAGCTTATACTAATAATTCTAACCAAGTTTGAACTAATTCTATAACAAAATAAACAAATTATTCTCAAACATGTAATTTTCCTAAGTACAAAATAGTAAATTTGACCCCTTCCCAAGGGTAAATGTGAGACCCCGATGTCATTAGAATTTACAATTTTGGTAAAGCACTGGAAGACACTTCCATTCATGAAGTGTATTTGGTTCTACTTACTAAAAGAAAGCAGTCCTGATGTTATATGCTTTAAATGTTCTGATTAGAAATGATAATTAATTCTTAGTAATTTCTGGGGGAAAAAGTCTACAGAAAATCACTAGCTCTGGACTAGTGGGCCTGTAATTTCCACTAACCCAAGCTAAAAATTTGGTAGCCCCAATTGTTTTCACACACTTGAAATTAAACATGAAATGTAGGTCAGATGTAGCCTTCAGTTTGTTAAATGTGCCAGAGGAGTCAGATGGTCTGTCATTAATAATGTATAATCATCATTATAAAAATAGTCTGTATACTATTTTAATATCCTGGTCTGATGTCTAATGACATCACTAAATCACAGGGATGCTTTAGTTAGCTTCGTGTGACCTAGAAGTACACATGTATTACATCAAATAATCATTTGAATGGAAATGACATTTATAGTGCAAAAAGTCGTAGATATCTGTGTTTATATGTGCATCTTTTCTTTTTTATAACACATACTATTCAAATAAAGTTGATTTTTCATCTCTCAGTCTACAACTACCAATTTCAATAAAATTGGAAATAAGTCGTCAAAAGTGGTAATTTATAAATCATCATTTTTGCAATGTAAGACCTGCAAATTTGGACTATCAAAGCCAAATAATTAGAGAAGGTGTGGTCTTTTATTCATGGGATATTTTTATTTGCATGACAGACGACAACCAAACATTGGCATCTTAGGATGAAATGATAGGTTATTTCATCATACCAAGGAGGATGTTGGACATGTAAAATATGTATTAAGAAAAACTACACAAAATATTCCATTGTTAGCATTTCATGATGAATGGTTAAAATCACTAATTATCATTTCTTCTTGGAAGCGTGACATGTTACAACAACCAAATTTATCTGGTTGCAAGGTCACAAAGATCAGTAGTTCATATGATACGGCTCGATAAAACGGCCGTTCCGAAATACCTAATTTGTTACACATTTGAGAAGCATATACAAATTCAAGAAAATAAGGCAAATCAGATTGTTTGGCTTATGAAAAGTGTTCTGCTTATTATTCAAAGCTCTGGTTAGGCCTTATATGGAATATGCAAGATCTGTCTGTTCACCTTATAAGGAAAAGGATATGGAGGCAGTAGAAAATGTTCAAAGGCAAGGAACAAGGATGCTACGAAATATGAAAGACATGAGCTATGAACAACGTCTAAAACGGCTGAAGTTACCAACCCTTAAATCAAGACGAATGCATGGAGACGTGATCGAAGTCTTAAAATTTTGAAAGGAATTATCATCAGAGAGTTCCTTCTGATTTGTTGAAATTAAGCATGTCTAGCAGCACAAGAGGAAACCCGTTAGAAATAGTGAAACAACATTGTACCCGAGACATTAGGAAATACAACTTTGCACACAGAATAGTAGATACATTGAACATTCTTTCAGAACAAGTAGTCTCAGCCAGAACAACAAACCTTTTCAGAACAGAATTGACAAGCTCACGGAAAACCACCCTCTACGGTTTGACTTCACAGCAAGGACCGATGTCAAAACGATATATTCTTACTCATTTCAGGAATATCTTACCTTCAAACTGGGAATAATTAAATTCTGTTGGCAAGATATATGAATATTTGTAATTAAATGGCTTGACTCTCCACATATTTTTGTAGCAGAGGAACAATTTGCTTTGATATTACGTGAATTTAAATTTAAGCTAATACTACGCTCTTGTTTTTAGTTTCCATACTACAACTGGCCAAAAGTGGACGATGTTCGAAGCTAAAAGTGTATGATAAGCTCAGACTAGCAACCTATTCCCAGCAATGGATGAAGGATGGTGCCATTCGAATGGGTCTACCCTATTAATTGTAAACAATCCTATCCATATATGAGATTATTGCCCTAACATTGCCCTAATAAGAGTGTCCTTGAATGGTCATAATTTCAATACGAGAAGTATGTATAAATCAACAGTTTCGAATCTCATTGTAGGTTTGTTCGGATAGTATGGTGCAATATCTTGCAACCATACTCACCTCATGTTCGACCGGATCCTCTTCGTCAGCCATAGCTAGTACCGATCTTGCGCATGAGCAGTAAGCATTTTTAATCATTGTGTATGAAAAGCTTTCAATATAAACACATTATATTAACGATGAAGGTTTTGAGTGACCCAGAATGATGTCAACAAAAAACCACATGACTTCGAAGATGGCGACCGATGCTGTTGCCGGAACAAGTCGTCGTGCAAATCGTCCACGTTCGGTAAGCCTCTTGAATTAGATTTTTCTCTTCGTGCAATTGTTTAATGAATTTATAACTTGTAGTCGTTTTGAAATACCTGGAATGGATTGGTGAGGGTGAATTACAGCGTGCAAATATTTCCGGTTTCTGTTTCACATCCGTCAAGTTGATCAGTTTTAACGGATTATGTTTCCTGGTCCTGGTGAAGTTTCTGCTGCTGCCCATAAACAACAGCATTTATTGTATTGAGGCCAAGTTGACCATCTCAAAGCGAAAAGAATCTTTCAATTCCTGACAGAATATGTACTCTTGGCGTCAAAAAATCGTTCAGAAAGACGAGGGATTTCCTATGCAATTGCTGAAAGTATTCATGCATGCACTATTATATTCCTTTTTACCATATAAAGGAAGAGGACTTTTATCAGTGAAAAAAAAAAAAAAAAAAAATGAAAAAGTGAGAGGGACTATTACTCGTACCTATCTTTTGGTGATTTCGTTTACTAAGTACACAGTGGAATAACCATTATTTTACAGGGAAATACTAGATTTCCCTTGCTAGCAAATTACCACATGTAAGCACTCCTGAGCACTCTTTACATATCTAGAAATGCAACAACATGCCAGGCACTATAGGACTGCAGTCATATGATGTAGCAGAAAAGACATTCCATTCAGCCATTTACCATCTCTGCCGTGGTGAAATTCCGCATGCATGAAGCATGGATATGTGAAGGACAGATATGATTAGTATTAAAATCTGTCATTGCATGCACTGAAGATAAGTGTTAGTATGAAAATTTGTCATCACATAAACTGAAAATTTAAACTGTGAGCTGTACTCTTTTATAGGAAAGTTGTGATTGCATCAATGTAATTCATTCATTCAGGTTGCACTGTTCTGTGACTCAAATATTCAAATTTTTATGAAAAAAAAATGTAATCGTGCTTTGAAAATTAAGTGATTTTATATCCTGATGTCTTATGACCATTAAGATATTTATCCTGCTATTATCCTGAATTATTCTGATATTCTATCAACTTTTGTATATCAGTAAATAAGTAAATAAATAGTCTTTTATTTTACAACAATTGTGAATCAAGTTTTTCCAACTTATATTAGTCACTCTTGTTGGCTCGGATGGAAGCGTGCAAGGGGTCTTAGTGTGGGAGGAAACAGGAGTACCTGGGGAAAACCCACATGGTCAGGCAGGTTACCCCATACCTTTTCAAATCCATTCTAGGAATTGAACCCCAGACGGCTTGGTGAAAGGCGAGTGTATTACCACTGCACCACCCGACCATCAGTCTAATGTCAACTCCAGACCAATATGAAAAAAAAATGAAGAAAAATGTTTGTTATTTGCTTGTATAGTTTTTCATCTCATGAAAAGCCACAACCATTTTGTGGCAGCTTACAACAACAGACTGAACAACATACAGGAGTGCAGTCACATACCATCCAAAGCAACAAGGGTAAAGTGTCTTGCACAAGGACACAACCACATCAGCACAGATTTGTCAGTTATTTAGTTCTTGAGAAACGCAGACCACCATGGTTATGGAGCATTACACCATATTGACAGAATATCAGAATAATTCAGACTATACTGCAGTAAGCCCAAAGTGACATTATATTTACTTTGTCAAAAAGGCTTGATAGAATGGTTAAAAAACATTGGTGGCTAGTAAAAGCCAATACTTTTTAATTTTACTGGGCATAGCCTTGATAGTGTATGATAAAACAATATTACATATTATCTTTGCATTGAGTTTGTTGCATGAAATAGAATCCAATAATTCAAAGTAAGATTCCACTTGTGAGAAATTGATTTACCAGAAATCTCACTTAAAACATTAATTCCATACATTTGAATTATTTTTAGTATGGATGTAACAGTCTGCTAGTTAGGAATGGATGCATTAAATACATTATTGTCTCTTGAACAAAAATTATATGATTAAAAGGTTTATACATGATTGTTGATGTCTTAAATCATTTTATCTCTTTACTGTTTTATCAAGCGAGCTAATTCAAGCTATGGCAGTATACATTTAACAAATGATGATGGTGGGAGCAGTGCTACTTCAGAATCAAATGAAGAAAACGATATTTCAGAGGAAAAAATACTTTCTGGAGGATTTGAAGTAAGTAAATGTGATGTGTGCAAAATTAGGTCATAACATATACAGACCAGCTGAGATGGTTAAAGATAAACTAACAGCTGTGTATAGTTTTACTTAAGGTTTCTCATCACTATTATAACTATCAGATAATTTCATTTTACTAGCAAAGCAACTTCCAACTTAATAAGTTCAGATTACTACCACTGAAAACTAGCCCATGTTCTTTTTTCTGACTATATTTAGTCTTACCTAACAAACTTCTTGCCTCGTTTATGTTTTGTAAGTTCTGATTATAATTTGCAAAGAATCCTTTAAATCTGGCTGTTCCACATACTAGAATGGTGTTGCATCAGAGTTATGATCCTTTGTTAGTTTTCTTTGTGTAGTTATAACTTTCATATTTATTGGTCTTCAGTCAGTTTCCATTTACAGTAGATAAATGATATATGGATCTTATGCTCTTGTGATCTTATGTTCTGCTCATAACATCAAAAGTACTTGTGTGATGTGCTCCTAATTCCCTATTTAACCTGAAGGCAGGTTATTCATGGTTTTGGTTGCTCGGCTTCACTCTTCAGCCATGCATAATGCATTAAAATCACCTGGACATTTCTTGGTGAAATTTGAACATTTTAATTTGCTTAGATATTTTGTTGCTTCATGGTCCAAACAAGTTTAAGTAAATTCTGTGTTTTGCTCACCTAACTGAAAAGGCCAAGTGAGCTTTTGCCTTCCGTCTGTCCATCTGTCTGTCCATCCATCCATTCTTGCATCCGTCCAGTGTTAACTTTTTTTTTAAACAACTTCTTCTCAATAACCAATGGTTCAAATGTTTTGATATTTGGCTAGTATGTTGAAGGTTACAAGGATCAGATTTGTTAAAACCTTTAAATGACTTCTTCTCATGAACTAAAAGGTCCAGAGGCAAGATATTTGGCAGGTATGTTTCCTGGATGACATCCAACAAAGTTTGCAAAAAGAAATGACCTTGACCTATATTCAAGGTCACAGAATCAGATTTCTATAAAAATCTTTAAGTGACTTCTTCTCATGAACTAAAAGGCTCAGAGGCATGATATTTGGCTAGAATGTTCCTTGGATGAAGCCTGATAAAGTTTGTCAAAATAAATGACCTTGATATATATTCAAGATCATAGAAGACAAATTTGTTTAAACATTTAAATGAGTTCTCCACATGAACTTAAAAGGCCTAGAGGCAAGATATTTGGCTTGTATGTTCATAGGATGTAGTCCGGCAAAGTTTGCGAAAAGAAGAGACCTTGACTTATATTCAAGGTCACAGGGGTCAAATTTGATGGTATATATATATATGTATACAAGGTGAGCACTGCAGGCCCATTGAACCTCTTGTTATTGTGTCATAATCTTATCATTCTAGTGTGACTGTTATGTTAAATGTAACTATTAAGTACTAATTCGTAACAATAATATGACAACTGATGAAAGTTATTATCAACAAATCTAGCATGTTTATTTTTTCAGAGTCTAGATTATGATCATTGTGAAAATGAGCTGTTTCAACAGGAAGAAAGAAAATTCTCGAAGGTGTGGTTAAGTTTTTCTGCCTACTTTACATTTATGTAGTCAGCAGTAAGAAAAAAAATCTCGGAGTTATGATTGACTTTTTCTGTGTAATATACATTTAATTGAGATTAAGCAATATGCCTGCAAGTATCAAAATTATTTTTATCTAAAGGAGCTTTGAGGTTGACTGATGTCAGTACCTTCTTCTAAACTTTTGAATGATTGATGTTTATTTGAATGTAAGGAAGAAAATAGTCTGTAAATTATAGACCTAGCTTATGTCGATAAGATGGTGCAATTGAAAAAACAGAACTGTTTCATGTTTACAGACATATATTAAGAAAGAGGTGGTACGCTGGTTGGTATTTGGACTGATTGGAATCCTCACAGGTCTCATTGCATGTGTCATCGACAACATGGTTGTCCTCTCCACCAATCTTAAGTTCTCTTACATCAAAAGTTGTATCCTTTTCTATGTCTCAGTCACAGTAACCTGTGCTTGATCTTGGTATCAAAATATGTATTAATGAAAATTATTAGCTCACCTGGCCAAAAGAGCCGAGTGAGCTTATGCTATGGCACGGCGTCCAGCGTCTGACATCTTACATCTACTTTTTCCTTTTAACAACTTCTTTTCAATAACCAATGGACCAAATGTTTTGATATTTGGCTTGTATGTGCCTAGGCTGAAGCCTGACAAAGTTTGCAAAAAAGAAATGACTTTGACCTATATTCAATGTCACATTGTCAAATTTGTTAAAACCTTTAAATGACATCTTTTCATAAACTAAAAGGCCTATAGGCATGGTATTTGTCTGGTTTATTCCTAAGGTGACGTCTGATGAAGTGTGCAAAAAGAAATGACCTATATGTATATTCAGGGTCACAGGAGCCAAATTTCATAAACATTCAAATGATTTCTAATCAAGAACAAAAAGGCTTAAAATCTTGATATTTTGCTGATAAAGGTTTCTTGAATGAAGGTAAACAAATTCTGTGGAAAGAAATAATCTTGACCCATATTCAAGGTCACAAGGATAAAATTTGTTAAAGACTTGAAACAACTCCTTCTTATGAACCAAAACTCCTAGAATCATGATATGTTGCTTGAGATGAATCCTGACAAAGTTTGTGAAAAAAAATTACCTTGACCAAAATTAATTGTCACAGGGATCATATGCTATGTATGAGCGATGCTTGCACAATGGGCCTCTTGTTATCCTACTTGTGGTGTATTCTTTTAATGTCATATCTCTCAACAGTTTCACTGTAATATACAAAGAAAATCCTCAAACTAGAATGGAGTCTGTGGATGTGTTTTATGCAGATAGATGTTGTACAGTTTATTTTCCTTACAAAATATACCAGTTGTTAACAGCTGTGTTCATGCAGATCAACCTTGCCTACAACGACCGTTTCTGATCTGGGTGGCTATTAATGCTGGACTGGTGCTATTAGGGGCCTTCATGACGGCTGTTATAGAGGTAAAAGAGGAAAATAATCCCTATAGGGACCTTAATAACAGCAGTTACAGAGGTAGTTTGGTCAATAATCCTTTTTAGAATGTTGTACAGTTACTTTCTACTTCATTACTTTCCATGAACATAAGAGCTAGAATATATCACTGCTGATGCTAAGTATCAAAATAATTCTTTTACAGAGAACACTCCACATCCTAAGTGCAATATAATACTATTTATATCTGTGGATTGAATTTTTCCAGCCAGTGGCTGCTGGTAGTGGTATCCCACAGATCAAGTGTTTCCTGAATGGGGTCAAAGTGCCACATGTGGTGCGAATAAAAACTCTGATATGTAAAGTACTAGGGGTGATATGTGCAGTAGCGGGAGGACTTGTGGTTGGTAAGGTGAGTTGTCTCCGTTCACAATCGTTCAGTGTTTATAGTGCATTACTTCCTCAGTCATTCTTAAAAGAAAAATGTTTTTATTTCAAATATGTGAATTTGAATTAACTACATGTACTTACTGCTTAAAAACTAAACTGGGTTTGTTTATGTATTAAATGCTTTAACAACATATTTAAGGCTTAATACTGATAACAGAGTTTAAAGTCACGTAAAGTGTTTTTTTATTAAAAGGAAGGGCCAATGATTCATTCTGGGGCAGTAGTGGCTGCAGGAATATCCCAAGGCAAGTCTGACACCTTCCATGTGGACTTCAAGGTTAGCAACTTTTGGTTAAGGGATGTTTTACTTCAAAGATATCTCTTAGCTTTTATTTTGGAAACTTTTTTCGTGTTTGTTGATCTTTTTTGACAAGAAAATTGTGGAAAAAACTTTTTCAAGACCATTTTTTATGGTTGATGAAGTTCAGTGATAATCCTGTTGATTTTCAAGGGAAGTCTCTGTCTGTATGAAAACCTTCAGTGAAGTGACCTTTTTCTTTGCCTGAATGATCAATTAATTCCATGGAAAAATCAATGTATTTAATCATGAAATTAAGTTTATGTTCAAAATCATGCATTTCAATCTTGTGATAGTTATTCATTAAATATTTTGGATATATGTCATATTTACACTTTATATTGCTGTGAAATGTTTGCATTGGCTGTTTCACTGGATCAGATTCTACAATACTTCCGGTCAGATAAGGAGAAGCGTGACTTTGTATCAGGGGGTGCTGCAGCGGGTGTGTCAGCTGCCTTTGGTGCTCCTGTGGGAGGTGTATTGTTTAGCTTAGAGGAAGGAGCCAGCTTCTGGAACCAGGCACTTACATGGAGGATTGTAAGAAATTGTCAGAATCTATTGTAACTATAAATATTTTCTTTTCATTTTCACTCTTAGAGAGGATGCAAAGTGCTGTAAAGTTTGGGAAGCCATAAAAAGTGTATAATTATGTACATTGATTTTTATACCTGGCATTAATTACCAAGATCGTAGTATGAAAATTTTGCAGTCAGGGAAAATAATGCCTGTAATGTCATAAAAGTTCAATCCTTGTTTCTTTGACCAACTTTTTCCAAAAAAGGTGAACATTTTTTTATCAATTTCCTTTTCCTGAATGTGTTCACAACATGAGGGAGGATATTTTTCTTATCCAAAGCTAAAGAACAAAATTGAAAAAATCTCTGAAAATAAACAATGAAACACATAGTTCTACAGCTTAGAAATGTCTGGAGTTGTAGTTTTTCAATCGCTAACGTGGATCGCTGTGCATGTATATAAGTTGAATATGATTTTAATGCTGTTTATCTCATTTTGTATTAGTTTTTTGCCTCCATGTTGTCGACCTTCACCTTGAACATTGTACAAAGCTATGTGAAGGGCACACCTTGGATCCTGTCTTCTCCAGGTCTCTTTAACTTTGGCAAGTTTGATGTAAGTCCCATTTTGTATTTGCTATATGTTGATTCAAATTTAGTGCTTGATATGTTGTTTGATATAAGTGAAAAACACGGCCTTGAGTACTTTTTTTATGGTAAACAATATGTCGTTTTCGATTTTAATTTTTAGTTATTTAATTGTGAACATTCTTGGTACTATTTAAGTGCTTATTAGTTCGTGTGAAGATGAGATCTGCTGTGATTAAAATTCTTAGGTTATCTGACCCAAATGGTCATCCGCCATGCATCGTGTGTAAACTTTTTCTCTAAGACCCTACTCCTCTTTCATACCCTGATGGATTTCAACCAAATTTGGTCTGATGCATCATAGGGTGAGGGTAATCATTTGTTAAATTCAGAATTTTTATTCAACCCTTAGGGGTCAAGGGATGGGGTCAAAAGTGGTAGGTGCTGAAATTAGCTTTAAATCTCTTTTCTGCCTGGGTGGATTTCAATAAGCTTTGTCCTGATTCATAATTCAGTGTAGTCAATTCTTTTTCAAATTCAGAAATTTGTTTTGATCCCGAGGGATTTGCCAGATGACAGATTAGGGCCATGACCCTCTTGTTGTTGCTTAGGTTTGTTCATACAATTATAGCACCAGTATCGGTAGACTTTTAAGTAAAATGATCAATATGATTTCTCTTTCTATGCAGACAACTGACTACTCTGGACTTGAGATACCTTTGTTTATTATCATGGGTGTGTTTGGTAAGTATAGACTTAATGTTACTCATCAACTCAAGTTCACAAGGGATGTTTAACAAAATTAAAATTTGATCAAAATTGATTGTAGATGATTTTTCTTCAAACCTTGAAGTATTTGTCAGAATCAAAAAACTTTCCTTTAGATGAGTTGATGAACTTTGGTCACTCAGAATATACTTCAGCAGCTTCAAAAACGTATAAGGTTCTATCCCAGTGTAATTCGTGTTAAGTTAAAACAAAATTTAACTTAATGATTTTCAGTTATTATTGTGCATTTTTCAGAAATCTTGGTCATTATGTCTTTTTAATGGTGATCAATGTCATTTACATCTTAAACACAGAATCACATTGACCGTCGCAAGCATTGTTTATCACTTCCAAGGTCAGTCCGAATAAGTTGTCAGGGCTTCATACATTTTAAACACAGAATCACATTGACCTTTCGCAAGCATTGTTTATCACTTCCAAGGTCAGTCCGAATAAGTTGTCAGGGCTTCATACATTTTAAACACAGAATCACATTGACCTTTCGCAAGCATTGTTTATCACTTCCAAGGTCAGTCCGAATAAGTTGTCAGGGCTTCATACGTAAATGAAAGTATGATTCCACTTGTACGAATTATTTACATGAACCTGTCATTAAGATGCTTATCCCAAACTACATACCAAACGACTAAGAATGTAGATGTAATTATTGCATACTGTGTTTAGGGAAACCAAACATTTCATTTCGCCACGTAAGTGTTAAGTTTGCTCTACATATTAGATAAATGTATGTACCTATGTAACATCAGATATTCCACTTTCACCCTCTGAAACAGGAGAAAATAAAAGTTGAAACTTTCCCTGGTGAATGCTTGGTGATGAACACATTGTAGGTGTATCTATGCTTGTTTTCATGTCATGTGTCATTGATAAAGACCTCTTTTATACATAGGTGGGTTACTTGGAGCTGCATTTAATCACATCAATTACAAACTGACGATTTATCGTAAAAAGTAAGTAGCCATTTAATACCCTGACTTTTTCTGTTCCCTAGAATGTATATTGAAAAATGTACAAATAAAGGTTTCAAACTCTGCCATCATTTAACCATTGTTTGGGAGGATATAACAGAGAAGACTTTTTCTATCACTGATCGACTAACTTAACAGTCTTTATTGAAATGTTAGATTGTGATATTTGATAACCATAAAATCATGTAGGCTAATTTAATGCGACTCAGTTAAACTTGGTTTTTCAAAAGATAACTGATTTGTGGACTATTGACTATGGCTCAATAAATCTACTTTAATGTATGTGCATGATGTATATAAGTCTTATACTTATACTTATTTGTGGATTAAGAGCACCCATGAATTAAAGCCTTGTGATAAAATAACTTAATGATTTCACAGATGTATACATCTTTGCTTCCCACAGGTACATCACAAGCAGGAGCACTCAAGTCATAGAAGCCATTTTAGTTGCTATAGCAACAGCAACTGTTAGTTACCTCACCCTGTATTTCAACAATGACTGTCAGCCAATGAGGAAGGACCCTGATGAAGATAGTGTACAGGTATGCCTTTTTTTGTACCTGTTTGTTTGTGACGGTCTCAAGATAATTATTTGGGCAGTAATTTGGTAATCAATATATTTCAACACAAATAAAATCAAAATTTCTACCAAATTTTTGATAGTTTATGATTTGTTATGAAAATTTGTACCAGTATTGTCCATTTATTGTGTTGCTCTAGGCCAATGACTATTCCATAGTCTACCGATGTAAATTAAGAATAAGGATTTATGAAATTATTTCTGAAAATTAACAAGTCATAGAAATTGAAGACTAGACCAACCACGACTACTATTCAACAGGTTTATCTGGCTAGCTCAGCTTGAGTTTTAAAGAAGTGATTTATAATTAGTCTGGAATCTGTTCTACAATGATCCAAAAACAAAACATATTGGACAATGTTATACCAAAGTGAAATAATTTACATGTAGTTATGATCACCCTCCTTTACCGTGATAACTGAGTATTTGTCAGACTTATTACTTAACTTGAAGACTGATCAATTAATAAATTTTGTGTTCTGTGTCATGTATTGAGATATCTTTGTACAAGCCTGTTTAGATTTATGCGAGTTTGTCCATACTGCTTCTGCTAATTAGTGTATCAATAAAACTTTTAATACTTAAACAATGCGCTATGTAGCTGTTAACTTTATTTCTATTTTGACCATCTTATTGGGACCAGATTTTTCTCTTGTGTTGGCTGTTTCACTGGATCAGTCTTGATTCAGTTTCTTTGAAACTTACCTGGGTTAAATACTTACTATCACAAGAAGCTGGACATTTTTTATCATAAGCACTGTCACCACAATGCTTAACAGGAAGTACACACAATCATGTCAAGTGCAATGTTTTCATGGCCTACCTCCTCTTAGCTATGTATATTATATATTTGTCTTTTCTGAAAAAGTTATGGAAGCAGTGAGTATGTTTTATCAAATACTTGGAGTGTGTATTAACTACTGGGTGTGGAACAATTTAATTAAGTTGTGACTAAAATAGTTCTGATCTTTTTGTCTTTCATGGTACTGACAAACTTTCTACATCTCCTGATTTTGAAGTGAGATTAATAAGCCTTCACCATTTCCCTATGTGTACATTTGAAATATATTTGCATAAAAGTTTACACGTACATATTTTTTTTTGGGCTTATAAACAAGTTCAATTTAACTGTCATATAAACCTTAATAATGGCATTTTATATCAGTTTGTCTAATAATGGTCATTGTATCATAAGTATGATTTTCAACAAATGTTTAAAGATTGACAAATATCTAATAACAATGACATGACATTGTGTATTATTTATATCAAAATGTAGGGCATCTCAGAACCTATTAGTGGCTCTAAAATTGAATGTGAATGTGTAATGAATTCCGAAGTTCATAGTGATCTGATTTACTGAACTCATTGCCAATATCTAAAAGAAAGACTAAATCTCACAATAACCTGAAAAATATTTTGAGAAGTTTACAGTTAATGATATTTAATCAAAAAAACTGTGTTTTGAAAAAAGCTGTCTTTTAAAAAGAAGTAGAGAAATCCTGTATTTTGGTAAGTGTGGAACATTAGTTCACAATAAGGCTGTTTGGATACTGGTATATGTGTGGCATTGTGTGCTGTGATTTATTGGTGTATGTTGCAGTTTTTCTGTGATGATGGCCAGTACAGTGCTAATGCTGGCTTAATGTTCCATACTCCAGAAGAAAGCATTAAAGAACTATTTCATGATATACCTGGTAAGGAAATCATTAAGGAATTATTCCATGGTAATGTAAATAAATGTAGCTTGGCAGATGTATGGAAGCCAACTACATAATTAAACATCACCTTTCAAAATTATATACAGTGAAGGAACAAAAATATTGGCCTCATAGGACATTGGTATATGTATGATTCAGTGTGATGGTATGCTATATTCATACCAAAAAAGATCTCTTATGCATATATGTATAACTGATTGTGTGATGATAATAATAAAATATATGTTATTGCCCTATGCTAGTACTGCTTGTTTGATGTATATTAATTGAACAATAAGCTAGTTGGATACTACAGGACAACTTTGTCAGGACAATACTTTCAAAGATTGCAGTATGCAGATCCTTCAGACCAGCAAATTGGTTCTTGTGAGAGATTTGAAAGGAAGCATATTGAATTAGAGCAGTATATCTGGTCTCTTTTAATTAATGTTATTTGTATCTTGTGTGTAATTTGGCTATTTATCTGTTGACAGATAGCCAACCATTTTAATTTGGGTTCAAATATCAGTTGTTATATCATTTTTTTTTTTTTTTTTTACAAACTGAATGTGAGTGAAATTGCACTATAAGCTACTTGTATAGGAAATACAATATAAGAGATGTTTAATCTTTGGATAAACCTCTGAGTTATGTACTTCATAGTAATAGACTTCAGTGTTAAGTAAACTAATGCTAAACTAAAACTAAACTAAACGCCTCTGCACTCCATCTCCTGTAAACACATTTCTACTATGATCTTGTTGGAATACAGTATATCATTTGAAAGAAATGTGACTTAAACTCAACTGCTCTCCTTGTTGTAGATTGTTAGACATGCATCATCAGCTACAAAAAATGCTGATAGGTTTTCAAAATAGTTTATTGTGAAGAATTTCAGCAGTTTTCAGAGAGACTAGGATATAAAGGTTTAAAGTATTGATGTATAATATATTCTATTTTAATTTGTATTCAAATTTGGTAATCTTTTTCTGAGAGCCAAATGTACTTGTGAATTGGTAATCTTTTTGTGAGAGCCAAATGTACTTGTCAATTGGTAATCTTTTTCTGAGAGCCAAATGTACTTGTGAATTGGTAATTTTTTTCTGAGAGCCAAATGTACTTGTGAATTGGTAATTTTTTTCTGAGAGCCAAATGTACTTGTCAATGAACTGTAGGTACATTCCGGCCTGCAACTCTTGCTGTGTACTGCCTTTGCTGCTTCTTTCTGGCCTGTTGGACCTATGGATTGTATGTACCTAGTGGTCTCTTTATACCCAGTATTCTGATTGGTGCCTCCTGGGGAAGACTGCTGGCAGTGTTTGTCAAGTCTGTTTTTCCATCTGCTGTAAGTGTCTATGATAAACATTAAGTTTTCTTTTACTTTAATCCTGCTCATAATGCCTGTATGATATTTTCTAAATTTAAATGTAATCACAGACTACAGGTAACAATATGCTATCATGCACAAAAAATGTGGGTTTTTTTTTACATGCAAAGAAAGATATAGAACAGAGATGATATGTATTTAGTTATATTATAGTGTCAGCAGTTTACATTCAATGTTTTTTTCCCTATCTAGACCTGGGTAAATTACTCCAAATATGCTTTACTAGGAGGAGCTGCACAGCTAGGTAGGTGAATTTGTCCATTTGTTTTTTATTACAAAGAGAAGCAAAAAATAATGCAAAAAGTGTACTTTGATAGATATAATATATATACATGTACGCAGCTTCAGCTGCCCATACACATTCATAATAGTATAATGAAATAAGTAATTGTAACATGTGTTAGCATGTCTGAAGTTAACAATATTGTGTGCTGTTTTTGATAGGAAGAAGTAACTGCTCTTATCTTTGTTATCAGTAACACTTTATGTGGTTTTATGATGTCTCATGATTAAGCAGCTAGGTCACAAGTTCCTGTGTTCTATTTTCAACCCATCAAACACCAGAGGTGATGCTGACTTGTGTCAACATGAGACTTCTGTTATACTTACAGACAGTAAAAAGATTGTTTCCTGTAACTGTTCTATAGATCAGTACATCTTATTTTGTAATTGTAATTTCGTACAGGAGGTATTGTGAGGATGACCATCAGTTTGACTGTTATTATTACGGAGGCGACAGGAAACATCACACTTGGACTTCCTGTCATGATCGTCCTAATGGTGTCAAAGTGGATTGGAGACATCTTTAATGAGGTTTATCTCAAATGTATACTTTGTAGTCTTTTAACCCTTTTGATTGGTTGACAATGTATTGATGATGTTACAACAGTTGTACATTGTACATGGGATCTGTTACGCTATATATTAGTAATTGCAGTTATCTCCCTTTCATTGAACCCTCTTCTCAGTGGTTTACTCCCTCATGCTCTATGCAGTAATCACTTTGTGTGTCTGTGTTAACCTTGTGTACAAGATATCTCATGAACCCATGGAAGAATTTAATTCATATTTGCATCACCCCATCAGTCACTCTTGACCAATTTTGAAGTAAAAAGATAATCTCTGAACCCCTTACTAAATATATTAATCTCTCAATAGATATAAATCAAAAGAAATAGATGAGGAGGGATCCCTTGTTCACTTTGTTTTTATTTACAGGGTATATACGACATGCATGTCCACCTACAAGGTGTACCACTCCTTGGATGGGAGCCCTCTATCATGCTTTCTAACATCTCTGCCACGTAAGTCCTGCATATCTCTAATGGAATACACAAGTCACATTCTTCCATATCATAAAGACATCAGGTTAAACATTGTCTTCATGATAAGAATATCCGACATCATGTCATTTGCATTTTTTTACAGTCCAAATTGAAAGACTTAAAAAGTAAAAAAAAAAATTCTGACGGTCTTACATTTTGGTGTGAAAACCAGCCATAGTTTAAAAAAAATTATCTGCTTTACACTTGGCTTGAATGATATTGTAGAAGATGATAAGTTTTGCATCATATGATACAGGGAGTTGATGAGCCATCCTGTCACTGTGCTGAGATCCTACGAGTCAGTGGGGCGCATCGTTGACATTCTGAAGGGTGAGACACACAATGGATTCCCAGTGGTAGAGGATTATGATCCCTTCACAGAGGAGGTATGTATTTAACATAGTTCTGGGGTACCCATTCATAAAGGACTGATCCCTTCACAGAGGAGGTATGTATTTAACATAGTTCTGGGGTACCCATTCATAAAGGACTGATCCCTTCACAGAGGAGGTATGTATTTAACATAGTTCTGGGGTACCCATTCATAAAGGACTGATCCCTTCACAGAGGTGGTATGTATTTAACATAGTTCTGGGGTACCCATTCATAAAGGACTGATCCCTTCACAGAGGAGGTATGTATTTAACATAGTTCTGGGGTACCCATTCATAAAGGACTGATCCCTTCACAGAGGTGGTATGTATTTAACATAGTTCTGGGGTACCCATTCATAAAGGACTGATCCCTTCACAGAGGTGGTATGTATTTAACATAGTTCTGGGGTACCCATTCATAAAGGACTGATCCCTTCACAGAGGTGGTATGTATTTAACATAGTTCTGGGGTACCCATTCATAAAGGACTGATCCCTTCACAGAGGAGGTATGTATTTAACATAGTTCTGGGGTACCCATTCATAAAGGATTGATCCCTTAACAGAGGTGGTATGTATTCAGCGTAGTTCTGGGGTTCTCGTACATAAAGGACTGATCCCTTCACAGAGGAGGTATGTATTTAACATAGTTCTGGGGTACCCATTCATAAAGGACTGATCCCTTCACAGAGGTGGTATGTATTTAACATAGTTCTGGGGTACCTGTACATAAAGGACTGATCCCTTAACAGAGGTGGTATGTATTCAAGGCAGTTCTGGGGTACCCATTCATAAAGGATTGATCCCTTCACAGAGGAGGTATGTATTTAACATAGTTCTGGGGTACCCATTCATAAAGGATTGATCCCTTCACAGAGGAGGTATGTATTTAACATAGTTCTGGGGTACCCATTCATAAAGGATTGATCCCTTTACAGAGGAGGTATGTATTAAACATAGTTCTGGGGTACCCATTCATAAAGGACTGATCCCTTCACAGAGGTGGTATGTATTTAATATAGTTCTGGGGTTCCCATTCATAAAGGATTGATCCCTTCACAGAGGTGGTATGTATTCAAGGCAGTTCTGGGGTACCCATTCATAAAGGACTGATCCCTTCACAGAGGTGGTATGTATTCAAGGCAGTTCTGGGGTTCCCAGTCATAAATGACTGATCCCTTCACAGAGGTGGTATGTATTCAAGGCAGTTCTGGGGTTTCCAGTCATAAATGACTATGATCCCTTCACAAAGATATGAAATAAATGTAGGTCAGGGGCTCCAAATTGTCAAGCAGTTTAATCCCATTAACGAAAAAGATGTTAATTCAAAGCAGGTCTAAGCCTAGAATGTCAGGAATTTCCATTTGTAAAGGACAGGGATCACCTTTATGGAGAAGCTGTAAATTAGTTAGGGCTAGTCCAGACCTAGCAGGTCAGTTGTTTATTGTTATGCATACCTTAATCCACTTGAGATTGATTGTTAAGAAAATGAAAGTTTTTGAAACTTCTTGCTGAAGTGAAAGTTGATTATGGTAAAACTATATTTCAGTCTCCAGAATCCGGAACCTTTGGAACATTCCATGGAACCATCCTTAGGTCTCAGCTCATCACACTACTAAAACTAAAGGTGTGTATATTTATATGTCTTTTCAACTTAGTTGTTTATTATCCAGTTTAAAACTGATCCACAAACAAAATGGCTGACATGCGACCATCTTTAATTTTGACAGTTACAGTTTAAGACAATTAACACCATTTCTTAGGATATGCTAGTTGGATTGTCCTAGATTTTTATGTAATTAAGAGTAAATTAGATCAGAGGAAAGAAAACAGAAAAAGGGGAGGAAAGCCAACTAACTAAGGACTAATATAGATGATACATTGTGGTATGTATCAAGATCTCACTAGGATCTCTTGTTCTAGAGTTTCCATGTGCATGTTTTAGGTTGACAATTTGCCTTCATTCAATTGATTAATTTTGAGTTTGAATGACAATGCTGTTATCATATAGGTATTTGCATTTATGGGACTCACAATGTAAACGTTAAACTCACTGTACACGTGTCACTACAAGTTTACAAACATTACAGGACAATTTTGATGTTTTTCCAAACCAGTAAACGTTTCTGGTAAAATTGATAGCTTCACCTCTTAGAGTCTATTCAAGCCATGTCTCTCCTAGCCATAATGTAACAATGATAATGTTTCTTTAACTTATCAAAATGTCTTGCAGGTGTTTGAAGAACATGATGATGTACATCTAATCAAGAAAATACTTAGTATAAAAGACTTCAGGGATGCCTACCCTAGGTTTACACCTATACATGTGAGTATTCAGGGATGCCTGCCCTAGGTTTACACCTATACATGTGAGTATTCAGGGATGCCTGCCCTAGGTTTACACCTATACATGTGAGTATTCAGGGATGCCTACCCTAGGTTTACACCTATACATGTGAGTATTCAGGGATGCCTGCCCTTCGTTTATATCTATATGTGTGAGTATTCAGGGATGCCTGCCCTAGGTTTACACCTATACATGTGAGTATTCAGGGATGCCTGCCCTAGGTTTACACCTATACATGTGAGTATTCAGGGATGCCTGCCCTTCGTTTATATCTATATGTGTGAGTATTCAGGGATGCCTGCCCTAGGTTTACACCTATACATGTGAGTATTCAGGGATGCCTGCCCTAGGTTTACACCTATACATGTGAGTATTCAGGGATGCCTGCCCTTCGTTTATATCTATATGTGTGAGTATTCAGGGATGCCTGCCCTAGGTTTACACCTATACATGTGAGTATTCAGGGATGCCTGCCCTAGGTTTACACCTATACATGTGAGTATTCAGGGATGCCTACCCTAGGTTTACACCTATACATGTGAGTATTCAGGGATGCCTGCCCTTCGTTTATATCTATATGTGTGAGTATTCAGGGATGCCTGCCCTAGGTTTACACCTATACATGTGAGTATTCAGGGATGCCTGCCCTAGGTTTACACCTATACATGTGAGTATTCAGGGATGCCTGCCCTTCGTTTATATCTATATGTGTGAGTATTCAGGGATGCCTGCCCTAGGTTTACACCTATACATGTGAGTATTCAGGGATGCCTGCCCTAGGTTTACACCTATACATGTGAGTATTCAGGGATGCCTGCCCTTCGTTTATATCTATATGTGTGAGTATTCAGGGATGCCTGCCCTAGGTTTACACCTATACATGTGAGTATTCAGGGATGCCTGCCCTAGGTTTACACCTATACATGTGAGTATTCAGGGATGCCTGCCCTAGGTTTACACCTATACATGTGAGTATTCAGGGATGCCTGCCCTTCGTTTATATCTATATGTGTGAGTATTCAGGGATGCCTGCCCTTCGTTTATATCTATATGTGTGAGTATTCAGGGATGCCTGCCCTAGGTTTGCCTGTACATGTAAGTAATCAGGGATGTCTGCCCTTTGTTTATATCTATATGTGTAAGTATTCAGGGATGCCTGCCCTTTGTTTATATCTATATGTGTGAGTATTATGGGATGCCTACCCTAGGTTTGCCTGTACATGTAAGTAATCAGGGATGTCTGCCCTAAAGACAGAGTCACACCATTTGGGCAGGCTATACAGGCTGGGCATGAAAAGGGATTTTTAAGTATGGAAAATGATTCTGGGGACTGGCTGAGAGATTGGTGAGTTTTGCTTGGAAGGTGCTTGTTGGATGCACGGTTGCTTTTTGGACACATGGTACCTGTGTCAATATGTGTGTACACTTTTACATGAGAGTCATCAGGGGATGTCTTCCCAAAGCACCTCAGCATTTGAAGTGTTTCTGAATTCCTTTTTTTTCTGATTCATAAAAAGCATACGAAACAAATTTTAGTTTCATTGTTGATTTTTTATTTCAATCTTGCAGCAAATTCACATTTCTGCACAAGAACGGAATTTCCATATAGACTTAAAGCCATTTTTGAATCCCGGTGCCTACACTGTCTCTCATGTAAGTTCAAATCTGCTGTTTTCTGACATGTCAATTGATAATGTTTGGTGTAAGGTTAGAGACAATTATCAAGTTTACAAAGAAATTTGGCTCCAAAATATACTTACAATATACTTATTAGTATTACATTTCTTTCAATTTAATAACAGTAGTATGTAGCATTACATCCCTTGTACCTGTGTATTGTGTTTTGATTCCTTTGTCACATATTTATTACATTCATCTTTCTCTCTGAGCTGATACAGAAGTCAGGTTACTAATTTTACTGTCCACACCTGCTCCCTGACATTACACTTATATCCCTGACATTACACGTATATCCCTGACATTATACTTATATGCCTGACATTATACTTATATCCCTGACATTATACTTATATGCCTGACATTACACTTATATCCCTGACATTATACTTATATCCCTGACATTATACTTATATCCCTGACATTACACTTATATCCCTGACATTATACTTATATCCCTGACATTACACTTATATCCCTGACATTATACTTATATCCCTGACGTTACACTTATATCCCTGACGTTACACTTATATCCCTGACATTACACTTATATCCCTGACATTATACTTATATGCCTGACATTATACTTAGATCCCTGACATTATACTTATATCCCTGACATTATACTTATATCCCTGACATTATACTTATATCCTTGACATTACACTTATATGCCTGACATTATACTTATATGCCTGACATTATACTTATATCCCTGACATTATACTTATATCCCTGACATTACACTTATATGCCTGACATTATACTTATATCCCTGACATTATACTTATATCCCTGACATTATACTTATATCCCTGACATTACACTTATATGCCTGACGTTACACTTATATACCTGACATTATACTTATATGCCTGACATTATACTTATATCCCTGACATTATACTTATATGCCTGACATTATACTTATATGCCTGACATTATACTTATATCCCTGACATTATACTTATATGCCTGACATTACACTTATATCCCTGACATTACACTTATATCCATGACATTATACTTATATCCCTGACATTATACTTATATCCCTGACATTATACTTATATCCCTGACATTATACTTATATCCCTGACATTACACTTATATCCCTGACATTATACTTATATGCCTGACATTACACTTTTATGCCTGACATTATACTTATATCCCTGACATTATACTTATATGCCTGACATTATACTTATATCCCTGACGTTACACTTATATGCCTGACATTATACTTATATCCCTGACATTATATATATGCCTGACTTATATGCCTGACATTATACTTATATCCCTGACATTATACTTATATGCCTGACATTATACTTACATCCCTGACATTATACTTATATGCCTGACATTACACTTATATGCCTGACATTATACTTATATGCCTGACGTTATACTTATATGCCTGACGTTATACTTATATCCCTGACATTATACTTATATGCCTGACATTACACTTATATGCCTGACATTACACTTATATCCCTGACATTATACTTATATGCCTGACATTATACTTATATGCCTGACGTAATACTTATATGCCTGACGTTATACTTATATGCCTGACATTATACTTATATGCCTGACGTAACACTTATATGCCTGACATTATACTTATATGCCTGACGTAATACTTATATGCCTGACGTTATACTTATATGCCTGACATTATACTTATATGCCTGACGTAACACTTATATGCCTGACATTATACTTATATGCCTGACATTACACTTATATGCCTGACATTATACTTATATGCCTGACATTACACTTATATGCCTGACGTTATACTTATATGCCTGACGTTATACTTATATGCCTGACGTAATACTTATATGCCTGACGTTACACTTATATGCCTGACATTACACTTATATGCCTGACGTAATACTTATATGCCTGACGTTACACTTATATGCCTGACACTTATATGCCTGACATTATACTTATATGCCTGACATTACACTTATATATTATATACTTATATGCCTGTTATACTTATATGCCTGACGTAATACTTTATATACACTTATATGCCTGACATTACACTTATATGCCTGACGTTATACTTATATGCCTGACTTATATGCCTGACATTACACTTATATGCCTGACATTAAACTTATATGCCTGACATTACACTTATATGCCTGACATTATTACTTATATGCCTGACATTACTTATATGCCTGACATTACACTTATATCCCTGACATTACACTTATATCCCTGACATTACACTTATATGCCTGACATTACACTTATATCCCTGACATTATACTTATATCCCTGACATTACACTTATATGCCTGACATTACACTTATATCCCTGACATTACACTTATATCCCTGACATTACACTTATATCCCTGACATTACACTTATATCCCTGACATTACACTTATATGCCTGACATTACACTTATATCCCTGACATTATACTTATATCCCTGACATTACTTATACTGACATTACACTTATATCCCTGACATTTACTTATATCCCTGACATTACACTTATATCCCTGACATTACTTATATCCCTGACATATACATTCCTGACTTATATCCCTGACATTACACTTATATCCCTGACATTACACTTATATCCCTGACATTATACTTATATGCCTGACATTACACTTTTATGCCTGTTACACTTATATCCCTGACATTATACTTATATGCCTGACATTATACTTATATCCCTGACATTATACTTATATGCCTGACATTATACTTATATCCCTGACATTATACTTATATGCCTGACATTACACTTATATCCCTGACATTATACTTATATCCCTGACTTATATTATATACATTTATATCCCTGACATTATACTTAGATCCCTGACATTACACTTATATCCCTGACATTACACTTATATCCCTGACATTATACTTATATCCCTGACATTATACTTAGATCCCTGACATTATACTTATATGCCTGACATTATACTTATATCCCTGACATTATACTTATATGCCTGACATTATACTTATATCCCTGACATTACACTTATATGCCTGACGTAATACTTATATGCCTGACGTAATACTTATATCCCTGACATTATACTTATATCCCTGACATTATACTTATATGCCTGACATTATACTTATATCCCTGACATTACACTTATATGCCTGACGTAATACTTATATGCCTGACGTAATACTTATATCCCTGACATTATACTTATATCCCTGACATTATACTTAGATCCCTGACATTACACTTATATCCCTGACATTACACTTATATCCCTGACATTATACTTATATCCCTGACATTATACTTAGATCCCTTGACATTACACTTATATCCCTGACATTACACTTATATGCCTACACTTATATCCCTGACATTATACTTATATCCCTGACATTACACTTATATCCCTGACATTACACTTATATCCCTGACATTATACTTATATCCCTGACATTATACTTAGATCCCTGACATTATACTTATATGCCTGACATTATACTTATATCCCTGACATTATACTTATATCCCTGACATTACACTTATATGCCTGACATTATACTTAGATCCCTGACATTATACTTATATCCCTGACATTATACTTATATCCCTGACATTATACTTAGATCCCTGACATTATACTTATATGCCTGACATTATACTTATATCCCTGACATTATACTTATATCCCTGACATTATACTTATATCCCTGACATTATACTTATATCCCTGACATTATACTTATATCCCTGACATTATACTTAGATCCCTGACATTACACTTATATCCCTGACATTACACTTATATCCCTGACGTTACACTTATATCCCTGACATTATACTTATATGCCTGACATTATACTTATATCCCTGACATTATACTTATATCCCTGACATTACACTTATATGCCTGACGTTACACTTATATGCCTGACGTTATACTTATATGCCTGACATAATACTTATATAAATAAATATTATCTAAATGATTACTTCTATTTCAGTGTGCATCCTTCCCCAGAATTTTCCGATTGTTCAGGGCGCTTGGACTTCGACATGTTGTTGTTATTAATAGAAAACACCAGGTCAGTATATTCATTTGTGGGAGGCGGCTGTAACAGTTGTACATAAATTAATAGACTAGATCAAGGAGTAAGCAAAAAAGTGGATTTACAGTGATTTTTGAGACTCATGCTTACCAAAGGGACTCCCTCAAATTTTAAGAAAAAAAAAAATTACTGGATATAGCATGGTTTCTCGCTGAGTATTGTGTCTAGATCATAAGTATGAGAGAACTATCAGGTTTCTTTTTACACAAACGATAGAAAATAATATTGTATTCGACCATACACCTATACAAAATGTGACATGTTTTATTAGTTATTAGTGCCCTAATGGTAAGTGTACATACTAGTATGTACTCAACACCAAAGTTTGTCAGCATTCTAGCAGCTTCATTCCATGAGAAATTCTCATAAACCTTCATACACGCTTAAAGCAATGAAATATCATTGACAAGTTCCAGTTCAAGGGTTGTTGGGTCAATGCACTTTTTTCTAGAAAATCATTGTCAATGCTTTAGGGGCTTCATTCCTTATAGAATTTTAGTAAACCTCACACACTTACATATGATCATAATACATTAATTACACAATGATGATGAACCTGTGTCATCAAATTGCGACTAAAATGAGATAAAATCTAAATACATGTTTGGATATACTTTTCTTTTTTTCCAAATTAACACCAAACACAATATTTATAAATTATTACAGTGTAATATCTTGTCAGGACCAGTAGAGGACAAGTATTGCTTTTAGTAATACACAGTATGCTTGTTACAATTATTTAAATACATGGCCAGTGTAAAATTTTAATACATACTAGAATTTGGACAGTAAAGAGGGATCTTTGATGCCATATTCTAATGCTATCCTTGATAACAATACATGGTAACATTTTCAACAGACTTTGCAATAAAAAGTTTTATTTTCTACAGTTACAAAACTTATGAAAAATGTTTTTTAAATATGTGATAACAAGTAAATACAATTACAATACCATACATGTATATCAATGTATATCAATGTATAAGATTTAAGTTATAAATGTATATAATTTGTGTCAGCTAGGACATATGATTATAATAAATATATTTACAATGTTAAAGACAGATACAGATTAAATATATAAAGGAAAAGTTATACATATTTTTTACAATAATTTTATGTCCTTGAAATGCTTTCTGGAATTGACCTCCCTTTAAGTTGGTTGTTACTGGTTGTAGGTAATTGGCATGGTAACCAGGAAAGACCTTGCTAGATACCGCATCACACAGCACTTTGGCAAGGTCAACATGGAGGAACTTCTCATCTCAAAGTAATCTTCCCTGCCTTCTGCCATACGAGATTTGAGCACAGACCCTAGAATAAATTGATGTCATGGACGTCTTTAGGGTAAAGAAGTCAGAATCTCAATGAAGCATTTATAGCTGTTTAATACAGTGGAATCTTCACATTCCTCTCCATTTGTTAGCAAGAACTCGATCTTCGGATCTTTGCTAATGTTGTATAATAAATATTTAATCATAGACATGGTGATATTATTGGAAAACTTTTGTGATTATGAAATTAATAAGATCTGTTGAAATGTCCTCAGAGAGTTTATATTATAATAGCAACAATATAACTAGCATTTTGTAGCCAGAATATATTTCAACAATAACTGAATGGAGGTTCCAAGTTATGTTGGCATTTCTGGGAAGGTGTGTGATCATGTTGATATTACTGGGAAGGTGTGTAGTTATGTTGACACTACTGGGAAGGTGTGTGATCATGTTGACATTACTGGGAAGGTGTGTGATCATGTTGACATTACTGGGAAGGTGTGTGATCATGTTGACATTACTGGGAAGGTGTGTGATCATGTTGACATTACTGGGAAGTTGTGTGATCATGTTGACATTACTGGGAAGGTGCGTGATTATGTTGACATTACTGGGAAGGTGCGTGATCATGTTGACATTACTTGGAAGGTGTGTGATCATGTTGACATTACTGGGAAGGTGTGTGATCATGTTGACATTACTTGGAAGGTGTGTGATCATGTTGACATTACTTGGAATGTGTGTGATCATGTTGACATTACTTGGAAGGTGTGTGATCATGTTGACATTACTGGGAAGGTGTATGATCATGTTGACATTACTGGGAAGGTGTATGATCATGTTGACATTACTGGGAAGTTGTGTGATCATGTTGACATTACTTGGAAGGTGTGTGATCATGTTGACATTACTGGGAAGGTGTGTAGTCATGTTGACATGACTGGGAAGTTGTGTGATTATGTTGACATTACTGGGAAGTTGTGTGATCATGTTGACATTACTTGGAAGGTGTGTGATGATGTTGACATTACTTGGAAGGTGTGTGATGATGTTGACATTACTGGGAAGGTGTGTAGTCATGTTGACATTACTGGGAAGTTGTGTGATCATGTTGACATTACTGGGAAGGTGTGTGATCATGTTGACATTACTGGGAAGGTGTGTGATTATGTTGACATTACTGGGAAGTTGTGTGATCATGTTGACATTACTTGGAAGGTGTGTGATCATGTTGACATTACTGGGAATGTGTTTAGTCATTTTGACATGGCTTGCAAGGTGTGTAGTTATGTTGACATTACTGGGAAGGTATGAACTCATATTGTCATTTCTGAAAAGGTGTTAGTCAGGTTGACATTGGTGAACAGATTATAATATGATATGTGCATTTTTATCATTTCTTGCCATTTTAATTATTTACATTTATCCTTGTGTAGGTTTTCACTCTGTAGGTAGGTAAATTTTATACCTCTAACCCGGCATTCCATGTCTGAAACAACTTGCTTACAAGTATATAATACTGGTTATATAACAAATAATTTGTGTTCTAAGGTGATATAAAGGTGGGGTTTTGCAATATTATTTGAATTGTACATATGGACGCTTTTAATGTATTTTTGAGTAGTATGAGAATATCTACTTGTTATGCGTGTTGTTAACTGACATGTTGTTGGATGTATAAGAAATTCCTCTTTCACAAGACATTTGGATTAAGATTCCTTGTTCAGACTTAACAGGTAAGATCACCTGCTGAATCATATTTTCTTTGGTTACCAGTAATCAGATCAAAATCCAGTTGTAATAGTAAGGCCTTTCCGAGTCATTAAAGTGATAATATAAAATGTTGGGATACAAAACAACACACAGACACTTCATTTATTACAATTATTATATGTCACAAGGCTCTCAGCATGGAAAGCCACAAACTATGGTTACAAAGTTGTAATGTTTAGGTATGTTAATAGTTAGTGTATATTTATAAAAACATGGGTATATACCGGTGCCAACTCTTGATATTGGACTTTGTAACTTGTTTAATGGAAATCGCTTCTTCTACTTTCATATTGCTAATTAGTTCTTGTTCGTATTGTACTTTGAGGCAATATATATATAAATTACCTTTTTATATGGCAGGCTTACCAGAATTTAAATCAAAGATAATTGTACTGCCAGTATTAAAATACTCTGCACAGAACAGGGTGCCTTTTACTATTATAAATATTAGTGCAATAAAAAGTATTGGTAGTCAGGAACAGCTCCTATCTCGTTTTCCGTTTTCAGCTTTAGGGAAATGACCTTTACAAGAAAACAGTTCATGGTTTTAGGAAAGGACCTTAACAAAGGTGTATTCCTTATCAGTGTCACAAACCATCAAGGTATATGATAGATAGTAATGATAAATTCATAATAAATTATAGGTAATTGTGATAAGTTACAGGAAATCATGATAAATTATAGGAAATAATAATAAAATCTTAGGAAGGACAATCTGAATATGGTTATGATATTTCAAACCCAGCAGATTTAGACATTCATGACAGAGTATGAAGGAGTGGTTGTATAACTGTTTACATGACATTATGACGATGGAAATAGATTATAGATAAACTGTGTTATACAATTCTCTTTACCTCCATTGTCATTTATAGTAAATAAAACTTGTCTCGTTTAATATTGGAGTAATTTACTCCATAGGATATCGGACCAAAATTTTTTATAAAGCAATAAGTCACATGTTATTGGCTGTGTCTTTGAAAAAAGTCCTTTGTCCTTTCTTTCAAGATATCCAGTGATCAATTCCTTCTTTTGACATAAATAGGTATGAGAACACCTATCCGTCACCTTAGTGTAATACATATTACTCTTTTGACATAAATAGGTATGAGAACACCTGTCCGTCACCTTAGTGTAATACATATTACTCTTTTGACATAAATAGGTATGAGAACACCTGTCCGTCACCTTAGCGTAATACATATTACTCTTTTGACATAAATAGGTATGAGAACACCTGTCCGTCACCTTAGTGTAATACATATTACTCTTTTGACATAAATAGGTATGAGAACACCTGTCTGTCACCTTAGTGTAATACATATTACTCTTTTGACATAAATAGGTATGAGAACACCTGTCCGTCACCTTAGTGTAATACATATTACTCTTTTGACATAAATAGGTATGAGAACACCTGTCCGTCACCTTAGTGTAATACATATTACTCTTTTGACATAAATAGGTATGAGAACACCTGTCTGTCACCTTAGTGTAATACATATTACTCTTTTGACATAAATAGGTATGAGAACACCTGTCCGTCACCTTAGCGTAATACATATTACTCTTTTGACATAAATAGGTATGAGAACACCTGTCCGTCACCTTAGCGTAATACTTATATCTACAGCTTTATTTAAGGTTCATTTATACTTCCATACAGGCCAAAAAAAGTAATAATGTTGAAAGCTGTGTCATTATTTTTATGATATTGATCATGTAAAGTTTATTTTTTTTTATTTATATACAAGTGTAGACCATGACTTGTATGCTGAGTTTCCTGTATATAACCAAGGATTGAACAAATCCTATGTACCATGTTTCAGTCTAATGTTGTAAGTGCCATCTGCTGAGACAGTTAATAGCCTTTAGTGCATTTGAATGTGTTGTAAATTTATATTACCATATTTCAGTCTTACATTGTGTCATAACAGTTGCATTTGAATCACATATTACTAGCATTTTACACCTACAGTTGTTTTGTTACCAAGTATAGTAATTACAAGGTAAATTCGGTAACAGTTATTGATTTCTGATTTCTGAAATTTGAGTAGGAAATATTTCATTTATGTGAGTTTGAACCATGTAAAAACTTAGCATAATAAGTTTTAATTTGTAGAACTTTTGCATGGCATTTGTTTTTTAACATTTTTCTCGACCGCCAAAAAATTTCTATTCAGGGACTCATGTATCACCTTTGTGAAAATAAATATGCTTTTAATTTGATTAAGATTTTATAATTATTTGTTTAATTGATGTAAACAAATATATAAAAGCAAAAATGGTCATTATCTGTTTGTTATATTAATCTCTCAGACCATGGTCCATTGTTATCAAGATTTGTCAGAATTGGAATATTGCAATACAGAAAAAATTATATAAGTATTTGTTTTAAAAAATTTGATTTTTCTTCATTTTTTATGTCCAGTAATGAAAATGATACTGCATGAAGAATGATAGAGTAATGAATATCAGGATCTTTGGTTCAGTATTTCAATGGTGTCAAATTTGACATCATTACAACATTTTGCTGGGGATACTGTAATTTTTTTTCATTTTTTCAATTACAAGGTACAAAGAAAAATTATCATATTTTGTTGGTAACATTTACAAAATCAATAACTTGTTTTACTCTCACTTCACTTACATCTGAATACAAAATCTGTGGTGTTAAACAGAAAGTACTGTCCTGTCAAGTGAAAGTGATGTGTTTACTCTGTGGTAGATATAATGGACACATTGGTTACCTATTTAAATGTAAATCATTAGAGGTTCATGAAGTTGAGATATCCAATATCTCTGTGACATAAATTGTTTGTTAAAGGAGAGATTGGAAATTTTTCATTGTTTCCATCTTTCACCTTGTTAAAGGATAGAATAAAATCAAGGAAAGACATTCTTAAGCCTTTGAAAAATGATGCATTCCTTTTACCTCAAGTTTGTTGTAAAACCATGAACACTTGAACCATAGGAGAGAAAAAAAGAATTGCTGTATTTTGGTGTATGGTTTGCTTTCACATGTTTCATCAGCCTAACACAACTTGATATATGGGGTAACATCCAGCCTTGCTGTGTTGTTATATCAAAAAGTATTGGTATATTTGTATTAATATGTGAATGCAATTAAAATGTATTTGTCAAAAAATGAAAATAAAATCAATTGTCTCATTATTGTTATTCTTGAGTTCACTTATTAAGACAATGTACATATCAAATTGTGTAGTTATTTTCCAAAGGAAAAGAAAATTGACTTTTCTATGAAGGGTATATTACCTGTTAACTTCTGAACTAAAGTAGAAGAGATGATAAGACAGATTATAAACACTTAGTGTGACAACTCTACTTGATGTATAACATCAAATCTTAAGGCTTGTTTAGTACTCTTCATTTGATCTCTGTTGGTTAAGGAAAGATGTGGTCTAGTTTGGAAAGATCCTTAAAATAAAACCTCTTATAACGCAACCAGTACAAGATTAGAGTGTGATTTTTTTATGAATTCAGGGTTACCTTTATCAGACAAATGACTGGTCTTCAAGCGTACTAGCACTGATGTACGTAGTGTGTTGTCAGTACAACCAGTACAAGATTAGAGTGTGATTTTTTGATGAATACAGGGTTACCTTTATCAGACAATTGACTGGTCTTGAAGCTACTAGCACTAATGTGTCTTTCCTTCGTTGGTAAATTTCTGAATTGCCCAATCAGGGTATCACATGTTTACATGACACTACAGTTGTTATTTTATCCTTGCTTCTTGTCTTGAGTGAGTGACAATTGTTTCACGTCTGTTGCGCTAAATTCGTACAACTCGTAACTTCTGGTGTAAGGGATGGTACTGTCAGTAGTTGAGGTATTGGTTCATGTGTGTCTTTTTCCTATAGAATAATACCTGTTTTGTCATCATTCTTTACTAGACAGGTGCCGAGGAATAATGATGCTGATATCTTCCTTACATATGAATGTGATACTGTTGGTGATATATACAGTATTGATTTGTGCAGTGAAATCTTTCTGTTACCCTTTCTTGACTATTTCTAAAATGTCACACACAGAGAAGGCATTCTACCTGGGTCATTGCTATTGTATCTCCCCAAGTGCTGCATGCAGTTGGCCACAATCGGAGACACTGGGTTGCCCATGGCTGTGACCATTCCTGATAGAAGATACCGGGGAAACCAAAGTACCCTGCTGAAGCATGTTCTTGCTTTAGTTTTGATATATAGCTACCAGGCATTTTTTGAACTTTTGGATAGGGTTGCTTTTGATTTTCCATATGTCTTGATGTCATGGAGCATTGCCACGACATTGTTCTCATACTGGACAGTGTTCACTTCCATACGTTATTAGTACAATATTTCTAAAGGCATTAAGTGTAACACTAAACTGGACTTCCTTGCAATATCTCCTCCGTTCATCAAATTTACTGTTTACCAGTAAGCAGCTTGGGAGAGTGTTTCTACAGTTCGTTTTGTGTTCAATAAAAAGAGTTATTGCCCTTTGATTTTTAATCCACGACTCACCATCAATATATTGGCATTACATACCGTTTAAAACTGGTAGTATATGTACCGTTGAACTGCGTTTTCAGTAGAAATATATATTGTTAATCAATACTTCAAGGCAGCGAATGGTCCATCCATTCGTAAAAGACTGTGTACATAAGCATTATGTAATCCAGAGATAACGGCTCACTTGGGATGAAGTGGACGGATTCCCCTTACATATAATAGACCGTTATTGACGTTTAATTTACATTTTTACAGTATATAACCTTATATTGCCACCGATTATGTAGACAATGACACTGACATTATTATTCCTATCTACAAATGACCAATTACTGCCAGTCTCTTCGCATTTCAACACCACCCTCGATACTCCAGGGTTACAAGCATTTTCGCTCTGTGCACCAAACTGAAATATGAGGGCACAAGCGAAGTAATTTAATTGGTTCCAAGAGAAAAGAACTGACCAATCACATGCCGATACGCTCCTCCTGAAGATTAAAAAGGAGCGACAACAAACTCCAAAGCCATTGCAATATAAGCGACCAAGAGATTTGTTTGATGTGCATCACAGGGTCAAACTAGTTTTTCGTTTTGTCGACATGGTGTCACACATTGAACCTTCAGTTTTGACATGGAAATTTCATGATGTAATGTTATTGAGTTGCGTTATTTTCACAGTGTTTTATATGTTAGGTGTTTTAGCGCACGTCGTTCTCCACCGTACTGAAAGGCTGAGTTGTGCTTTTTCCTACGCTTTCTGGTTTTAGTTGAATTCATATATTGCTTGGGATAGTCTTTCTTGCATATCAAATTAAGCTGTTTTCGATAATTTTGTGCTGCGTTGTGCAATTTCCGTTGACAAAATGATCCACTGACCGAGAGTATAATCGCCTGTTATTGGTAACACATTTTACCGATTGCTATAACAATACATTAAACATTTCTCTTTTCTAATTAATTGTTTTAAGTGTTTGTAATTAGGCTTACCTATTCATTAATCTTATGTATCACTTATCATTATTTTACAACTCTTCAGTTTTGAAGAATAGAAAATTACGACCCCTCAAAAACAAGCTTTATAGTATTTTGTAGGAGAAATGCCGAGAAAGCATATATGGGTTGCACTTCAGCTTACAAACGATTATCAAATAATATCTAACTCGTCGTACTTTTCGTAAAAATAAGGTAATCTCACTCTGTCACAAGCTTTAAACCCAGATCGAGCTAGACAACGTACCAACTGCATAATGTTTAATTTTCGCGATCAGCTCTTTTCGGATATCTGTTTTTGGACTTAAGTAGGGACGTTTATGAAACTGGTATAAAATGTACGATTTAGAAGAACAAGTATCTTTTCTTTCTGTTATTTGTTATCGTTCTGAAAATTCTAATGAAAATACGGAAGCAACACGATGGCACCGTAGCGCTGAGGCAGTGGCAGATCACATGATCGATCATGTGACTGCGAGTCTAACTGTCAGTTAGGTTGGTGTTATGGTGCAGTGTGCCACGTTGTGCTGAGAAGGAGTGCTACTCGGCTGGTGATTAGGCCCACTACTCTGACAAGGGGTTGGGGTTTACTAGTACCCCCGGGACAGCAGCATGCAGACAGGGGACATCCTCGGAGAGATGGAGGAGGAGGAAGTGGACGGGGAGTGGTATCAGAGTGGTAAGTAAACTCGATAACGTCATCCTCTTACTAATTATCATAAATAATCACAACTCACGGAATCCCTCAACTTGTATTTACTTGTAGCATGCAACTGCGTTAATATGCATATGCAGTGCTACATGGCTGTAATGTGTAGTTTCATTGTAAACACGTACCAGTTCGGAGTTTGTGGTCCACGTGTACAAATGCCGTATGAGACACCCTCCAGTTATTCAGAGCATCTCCGTTTGTAACGGTTAGGCCTGTATGTGTTACACGGACCTATCGATTTTCTTACCGTATGCCTGAATTAGACACTACAGTATATATTTTTGTTGGCTCTCCATGAACTGATAGGACATAAGATATAGAGTGGAAATTCATTTTAATGTAAAATTCAACATTGGTACACTGGTGCTGTACTGTTGTGAACCATACAATATGTGTTGTAGATTAACTAACCTCTGCCATGCGATATGAAATGTCATATATTGTATGTATCTTAAGCATTGTATCTGGAGTCACTAAATATTTTATACTATAAATATTTGTTTCTTTTTATTTTTGATAACGTAAGTTCCTCAGATCTTCTTTCATATAAATTAGACAATATAGGGTCAGTCTAGTAATTGTGCATTGATTCTTAAATATTTTTCAAAATCTGTTCAGTGCTACTGTGTGTTTTTTCTTCTTTCTGGGTAAAAGTGTAAGTAGGTGTAAAACTGTTAGTGAAAATAATTGTTAGTTTAAATGTCTTACTTCTGGATGACATTTAAATTGAAGTAGATAAATAGAGAGATTAGATCAGAAGGATTTATTTAAAAAAAAATACACCTAGAACACAATGTCCTATTAATGCTTTTCTCTCTTCATCAGATAAGAATGTAAATTACATATAACAGCATACATGTTAGAGTAAGGAGATGGAATGCCCTCATACAGTTTACTGGTCCCACGGATTATAATTACCTTCTCACTTATGAAGGTGTTGATATAGTTACTACTAAGTCATTAAGCTTGTTGGCTGTCATACTGACTATGGTCTGATTCATTATACGTATATACCTCACTAATATCTACATATTTAACCCATATAATGTACAGCTGTTTCCATGGTAACATAAAAATTACTTCAGACCTGCATTACAGTATGATCTCCACAGATGTATATGAGAAGATATTTGCCCTGTTTGCCCCATAGCCACACGTACCAGAGAGGAGGCCTGGAATTGTTTAAACATTACCATTAATAGGTACAAACAGATGATGCCCAAAGTCAACTGACCTCAATCTGTTATGATAGAAGCCTCCGCGCTTGCCAAGCCCTGTATTAAAACCTGATTGATTTTGTTGTTTTGTCTTTAATGAAGAAAAATAAGGCTAGGCAAATTTACATATTGGTTTAATGAATATGATTTCATTATATTCTGAGAGTTTTTTTTATTGTAAAAGTCTCCTCAATACACCAGAATATTACCCGACATTAATCTTGTACAGTGATGATTTATTAATGGTAATCTGAAGTCTGATGTATGTACGTACTTAGATATATCTAAGTCGGTGATGTACCAAGGGATGTATGTATATATATATATGTATGTATATATGACCGACTTCAGTACCATTATCTAACCTAGTTATCAGTACATACTGAAAATAGGTTAGGTTTTTATCATAACTGTATGATATTCTAGTTTGTTTTATATAAAGAAATTCAGAAATTGCACTTTTACGTTTATATGTAAGATTTTATTAGGTAGGTCATGAACTTGAATATAGAAGTTTTATATAGTTTAACTGTTGGAAATTGTACTTCTCATGTGTAGGTAAGTCATAAACCTCTAAACAAAAAAAAACTGGTAGTTATAAATGGATTATGAATTTGTATTTACAGTAAAGACAGGAATCAACTTATACTGACAACATTAAGGCAGGCCATTAACTTAATTGTACTTGCAAGGTTTGAGCAAGTTATGCCTTTATTCTGACAAGGCTAAAGCAGGTTATGACCTTGTACTTATAGGGTTAAGGCTGGTTAAAGGGTTAAGGCTGGTTACAGAGTTAAGGCTGGTTATGGGGTTAAGGCTGGTTATGATTGTCTAAGACCTACTCAACTGGTTATATCAATTATCAGCTGAAGTACAAGGTATACTAGATGTCAACTTAACCACTGTAGTACCCTAGTTGTTTGATTAAGCTACATGGACTTAATTTGGGTGTGAAGTACCTATTACACTTTGAATGTTTACAGGTGTTTTTGGTATAGTGTCCTCTACCACAGGCCTTCAATAAAGCTGTGTCTGTCAATGTACACCCATTGATTGTTATTAACATGAGGGTGACATTATTACTTGCCAAGGAAATTATGTTCTACTTCATCTAATATAAGCTATAATTGATACAGTAGACCTATTCATAGAAACCAATTTAAGGTATGTAGTGTCCAGTGAGTCCACAATCTACTGGTGGCCCTTTGATAATAAGATTCTGGTGGACAGATTTCAGATAAATTATGCATGTATTGCTACAGTACTATTGATTCATGGCCTTCTTATACATTTTATGTGATATTGAATGATACAGCTAGAAGATATCACAGAACAAAATGACTCCCCAAACCTATCTGTCTCTGATGCAGAATTCTTACTTGGTCATATAAAATACCGCTAGTTTCTGTTAAGATCTTCTTTTAATGAATTTTGACTATTGAAAAGATCCCTTTTTTTGGCAAGCAATAGTACCCTTCCACACAGTACACACACCACCTGTCTTTATGTACTTATACATCTTCTTGTCCTGCACTATACACAACACATAGTCATTAAACTGTAGATGGTCTACTAAGTTGATGTTAGATGACAAGAGGCACAGTAAAAGCAGCGCTATAAATATGAAATATGGTTTATGTACTGTACTATGTGATGTCCCAAACTTTACTGGTAACATATACATGTAACAGAGATCAGGATATTTGTGGTAACAGTAAGGCTTTTTGGTGCCGAGAGAGATTAAGACTACAAAGGTAATATTTTTGTTTTTTTGGTGGTTCAATATTTCATGTTTTTTTTTCCAAAGCCTTGAAATAGAAAGTTTTTTTTCTTTGGAGTCATGAAATTGACCGTCCTTTTCTCTATTATTTGATTTTACTTTTGAGGTATCTATCTTTCACAATCTCATTCTCACGAACAAACGGAACCCTTTCAAAATAACAATGAGTTGTTGTTTGTACAAATATAGGTATCATGTGGTATGTCACATTGTTTTTGCATGAGAATATGTAACACATTTGAATAAATAAATTCTGTTCATCACTTGATAGAATGTTGAAGATTGACTGCTATTTTGATGCTAATTAAACAAATGGTAGAATTCATTAAAATTTGTGGTTAAGTAAATAGCATGAATTTTTTAAACATCCATAAAAAGAAAAAGAAAAAAAAAATTAAAAGCCTATATAAAGACTGTTTTAAAATTTTATTGTCTAAGGTACCATAGATCAGGGAATTCTAGGTCAGTCTTCTGTTAAAAGGGGGGCTGATTTTATACACATAAAGTTTAAATTGTCTTTTCATGTTTAAAAAAAGTAGTAATAATTTAGTAGTGACTTTTGACTGTTTATTGTTCTGTAAAATTCCACCTTGATGTGTTGATAGACTTTCTGTACACCTATGATGCCCTTGATCAGCTTTACTGGGTTGGAACAAGCTGTGTAGCTGTAATATGCGAAGGTTGTTTTAAAGTCACCTCTGGCTAGCAAAGGATGTTATCCGGGGAAGTTAAGGGGACAGGTTTGGCTAAAATCTATATACCTGTGGAGACATACATGGCACCTTTAACTAAGCCCAGGGTGTTATCAGAGGAAGTTAAGGGGGCATGCCAGGCTCTGATCTATATACCTGTGGAGAGAGGTATCTTTGACTCCAGGTCCAGGGTGTTTATCAGAGGAAATTCTGGGGACATGTTGGCTCTGATCTTACCTGTGGGGACAAACACTTCTGACTCGGGGCCCAGGGTGTTATCAGAGGAAGATAATTCAAGGAGATGCGGTTTGGCTCCAATCTATATACCTGTGGAGGGTGATACAGGGTTTAAGGAAATAAAAGGATAGGATTGTCTGTATGTTTACAGATTAAAGTCCTGTTTACCATGTTTGGTATTGTTTGCACTATATTTGGTACCCAAGATTTCTTTATCAGAGTGACAACAACTATATTTTGATAATCTTGTTTTAGCTATGAAATTTTTTAGATTTTTTGATATCCTAATTAGCTTGACAGTGTAATTTGTTTTTTTCTAAGTATCAAAAGTTTCATGCTGGCTAAAACAGAAGGTGTTGACAGCAGACTAGAAAGACATTTAGGATTGTCTGTTATATGTAGGCAATACTGGTCAGTGATATATCATTTACGGACTATCAGGGGAAGTAACTCCAATCCATTTCCTGAATATGTTTGTCAGCTTACTTTTTGTCCTATACAAAAGGGTAATGTTCCATCCTTTATTTTGTGAATTCACGTAGTTGAGAAATGGCGTTGATCAGTCTGTTTGGTAGATCAACTGATCCTGACTTTTTACTTTGCTTCATGATGCTGTACAATTTTGATATGGTTTACTCTCTGTAAATTTATTATTTCATCAATTACCTTTCTAGGAAGTTTTATATAGAAAGATACACCATAAATGTGAACAACTGGGACTTGGTAACCTTCTAAATCAAGGGTTTCACTCTCAGTGTACACAACATGTCTCAAAATCATGATTTTCAATTCTCAATATCTCTGTTCAATTAATTGATGAAAAGTTGACTAATTCAGAGAAAAATTAAGAATTCTCTATACTTGTAAGTTCTTTATAGAAAGAGTTGAGTGCCAATGCATTGGAGAAATTAGCTTTCTTTGTTATGAACATAACATCTTTGACATCTTTAAAACATATTGGCTGTATAAGGTAATTCTTATGTTAAGTATAGAACTTTCAATTGGTTAAAAAACAAGCCCTGGTATTGCTATTGCTATAGG